GAGGAGCTGTGGGAAGCTCTGTATGATGTGTCTGAGTTGAAGATTGTGTTGCTGAAGTGTTGGCTTGAAAGGTGTTTTCCAAATTCTCAAGTTTGTTTGCTATAGTTTGTATAAAGGCAAACAGTTGTTGCATCTGCTGTTCAGCAGTAGTTGTAGGAGCTTGGTCATCCTCCATTGTAGTATTAAAGTGCTGCTATAGAAATAGTTGAAGCTTGAAGCAGACAAGGTGTAATGGTGGGTGCACCAGATGTGAGAATCTAGCCACCCAAGGAAGGGATGATTTTACTAAGACAACACACTGTCTTAGGAAAAAGAGCCAAAGAGTTGTAGCTTAGACTATTCCACAACGCAGCAATCAGGTGTATGATATAGTGGAGTGGTTTAGACAAGTTGTAACAAATGTTGAGTCTGAGAACTTAGGGATAAGTCAGAGGTTAGCACCTCACTGACTTTTCAGAAACAAGGAGTAACAAGATCAATGCTTGGAAGCTTGGAAAAGACGTGGAAGTATGTGATAGTCAATTTACTGTATTGTCTGCCTGCCCTTTCTTAAGGAAAGGGCAATCCTATTTATGCTAAAGGAGTGTAGTTCTCTCATTTTCCAAGACTTTCCATGACTTACCAGGCTTGGTAACTGTAGTCGACGTAAGAGAATCCCATAGAACCATCTCTTAGGTTCGTAGCCTATAGGAAGTAAAAGGAGGTCCAAGGTCAGAGTTGTTACGATATCAAGTGCGCCTTGCAGCTCGAGTGGGGGTTCAGGGGTGTGGGGAGCTTTCCGGGGTTGGAGCAAAGTTTTCAGTTGTGGAGTGAATTCTCAGAACTGGTCTCGCTAAAGAGAATTCACTCCACAACAACATAGCTGTATATAGATCGAGCCACTGCTCGAGTACTCCTCTTCTCTTTCCTTTCTTCTCTAGATTGAGTTTAATTCATAATACCCAACTGGCGCCCTATGCCTTGGTGAACTGTGACAAGAGTACCCCTATAGACAAATTATGTCATAGACAAATTATGTCATAACTTAACCAATCTTGTGGGCAACTAAAGAGCAATGACGTGTAATGAATCATAGAGGTTCGTAGGAGCTTTTAGAGCTATCGTTCATGCTCCTAGGCCTCTAGTTGGTAGAGATATGTCATGTGGTAGTATGAGTGATGTCATGTAATGAATCATAGAGGGTTGTAGAGATATGCTATGTGGTAATATCGGCCCAGTAACTAAGGAGCGATGACCTGTAATGAATCATAGATGGTTGTAGCAATCGTTGAGTAGTATTGCTCTTGTTGTTGGTGTGATAAGCCAAAATATGTATAGTGACTTGTAGGTTTGAGGAGGAGATTTCCAAGTTTGCTCTTGAGTTTGATAGCAAACTGAGTGCAACAAATGTCAGTATGACAGAAGGCCCTAAGGAAGAGGCGCTTCCTAAGCACCAACCATGGGATCATGTGATACCTATTATAGAAGGAAAGAGTCTACCGTTCGGACTAATATATCAGATGTTAGTAGCAGAGCTAGACGTACTAAAGGAATACATTAATGAGAACCTTGCGAAAAGGTTCATTCGACCATCAACATCACTAGCAGGAAGTCTAATACTATTTGTGCTAAAGAAGGACAAGAAGCTAAGACTCTATGTAGACTATTAAGGAACGAATAATGTCACTATCAAAGATAGATATGCTTTATGTAATGGTGGGTGCACCAGATGCCATCATCCCAAGAGACCCGTCATATTTTTCTTAGCATCGTACATTTGACTTTATAACTAAATAACTTTTTTTTTAAACATGACACATTCGTATGAAGAAAGAAATATGATTCTTGCACTTCAAGTGCTTCAAACGAATCCACAATTACAACTTAGTCGCGTTGCTCGAATCTACAGAGTTCCTCGTACGACATTGAACGATTGAAGAGCCGGAATTGTCGCAAAGTATAATACTTTACCAAAGTCTCGAAAATTGACAATATTAGAAGAAGAAGTTGTCGTACGAGTTAGATTCGCGAGCATTTCCTCCTCGACGCAGTGCTGTTGAAGATATGGCAAATCGATTGCTCGCTGAACGTAACGGCGGACGCGTCGGAAAGAACTGGACCTCGAACTTCGTACGACGACAACCACAACTCTGTACGCGTTTCAATCGAAAGATCGACTATCAGCGAGTTCAATGCGAAGATCCTAACGCGTATAACGCATGGTTTCGACGTACGAAACATGATTGACAAATATGGGATTCATGAGGAGGACATTACAACTTTGACGAGACGGGATTTTTGATGGGCCAAATATCATCTGAGATGGTTGTAACAAATGCTGAACGAAAGAGCAGACCTCGTACGACACAGCAAGGCAACAGGGAATGGATTACAGTGATTCAACGCATTAGATCGTACGGATATGCGCTGCCGCCATTTATTATTGTTGCAGGGAAAAACCACCTTTCGTCTTGGTATGAAAACACTTCTTTGCCGCTGTTACGTCAAATGGCTGGACAACAAATGAGCGAGGGCTAGATTGGATTAAACATTTCGATCAACATACAAGGAGTCGTACAAAAGGCGTATATCGACTTTTGATTCTTGACGGGCACGAAAGCCATCATTCAGCTGATTTTATTATTTATTGCAAGGATCAAAACATTATTATCCTTTGCATGCCACCGCATTCGTCTCATAACCTTCAGCCGCTTGACGTTAGTTGTTTTCGACCATTAAAGCGTTCGTACGGAACTGAGATCGAGAAGTTAATGCGCGCATATTACACACATCTCGAAAGAAGATTTCTTCCCTGCCTTCCATACAGCGTTTCGTACGACAATGATTGAATCAAACATTCGAGCAGGATTTCGCGCTACAGGGCTTGTTCCGTACGATCCTAACTATGTGATTTCAAAGCTTGACGTTCGACTTCGTACGCCAACGCCTACGCCAACTCTACCTGTGATCTGGGAACCTAAAACTCCACGCAATGTACTTGAGACACAATCTCAATCAACATACCTTAAGGACCGGATTATACGACATCAGAATAGTTCGCCAACTTCGCTTTTACAAAGCATTGATCAGGTTGCAAAAGGTGCAGCAAGTGCAATACACGAATTGACGTTATTACGAGAAGAAAACACTGCACTTCGCAAAGCAAATGATTTGCTTAGTCGACGCCGTCATACAAAAAAACGTCGATTACAAGAAGGAGGAGCAATTACTGTCGAAGCTGTCCAAGACTCAGAGGCTCAAAGAGAGGCTAATATACAATTACAAGCTGATTTGCGAGAAAGTAGGGTTTGTACAAAGCAAACTAAGCCACAAAAACGTTGTTGTAGATGTTGCGGACAAACTGGTCACAACATGAACTTGTCCAAATATTGTAGATATATCTAATGATTCAAATGCCGAAGAGTTAGAATAATTTAATTAATTAATTGTCAAGATATTTTATAATTTTGTACGATGCCAAGAAAAATATGACGGGTCGCTTGGGATGACGAGTTGCTTGTGAACTACGTTAAATGTTTTATATATATTAACTTTTTAATAGTCGTTGGATTAATAGTAACTTTGAACTAAAGTCAAAATTACTAGATATGGTTAATTTACAAGAAAACCATAAGGGATTACAAAGTAGAACGAGGATACTATTATAGACTATACGGTAAAGGTGGAATAGCAACGAGATTAGGAACTACAAGGGATCAATCCACAGAGGTGATCAGAGCGCCTGGCCATCCATTCAGATGATATCAGTTCTAAAGTACATGCCGAACGCCACCTGCAATGCCCATGGAAATACCGGTCTACTCTATGCAGTATCCATCTTATCCGGGTCATCCTTCTTATCGTCCTTCTTATCTCCCGATCCGGATGCCTCGCCGTTATTATCCAGCAAAGGCTTCGACTCCTCATTCTCTTCTGATATCCCGGGCATAGCCTCGTTCTTTTGCGCCTCAGCCTCCCTCTGGCGCTTTTGCCTCGCCTCATCCTCCTCCATACTCATGCGCAGTGCGAGCGCGAGCTCAGGGTCTGCAGATGGGTCGAAGCCGAATTCGAAGCCCCCGGCGCCAGCTCCGCCTTCGCCGCCACCTCCTGCTCCACCACCGCCCGATCCATCGCCGTTGAGAATGGGGGAGGCGATGAGCTGGTCGCTCAACAGACCTGGTCCGGGTGGGATGATGGTCAGGTGGGATCCCTCTCCGCTCTTGACGTTCTCGTTGAAGGCCTGGAGCTTCTTGGTCACGTCATCATCAATGTCACCGAATGCAATGAAGTCGATCGATACGGCGTGCTTCTTCATCTTCTTGGCCAGCTTGACGAGGCTCTTCTCATCTTCTGCGATGGGGGAGCAGGTGAATACGATTATGCGCATGCGTTGTGTGTTGTTCTGGCGATGCTTGAGTGCAAGCTAGGACAGGTTAGATCGGAACGCCGATAGATACGAAAGGGGCAAAACCTACACCTGCTATTTGAAGGCCAGTTGCTAAATGTGATGTCCCAGAGATCTTGCTCTTTGTCCTGTGAAGCCCTTCCAAGATCTTTCCGTGGTCTGTCGTCAAAGTCACCAACACTTCTGGACCTTTGCCACCCATGCTCATCAGACCAACTGACGACTCCGGGTTGCCTTGTGTGACGGCTGAGAAGACCATAGAAACGGCATCGGCTTGCGCTTCGAATCGTGTGGGCGTATAATCTCCGTTTCGACTGCTCTCACTGTTATCCACCACCACCATCACTGCTTCGAGAACCATTCTGGCGGTTTGTTCCAGGCGAAAGTGAGATGAGCAGTATTAGGTATTTGAAAAGTAGTATCTTAATGTATTATGGCTTGTTGATATTATCTTGCGGATGTGTTATTGGAGAGAGCTTGGGTTGTTGGGGTTGTGAATAGAGCTGTCTGATGTTGCGGCTCCAGGGAAGGTGGATCACCCTTGTAGCTTACGAACTCGCTTGTGCCTTACGTCCCCCGTCACGATTACAAGCTCCGGGTGGTTTGTTTACCTCGCCTGTCTCGTACACTTCTGGACAGGACCCCAATAATCCACCAATCCACGATTGTTTACAGATTCTCAGTCGATTACGCGCCTTAATGCTCGAATATTTTGCTCACTGGGTTTAATTTAAGTCAACTACACACCAAAAGATGGCACCTACGCGCCAGCGAAAGCACGGGAAGTCAACGGAGTCCGAGTCTTCGGTCGATGCAATGGATTTCCCAGCGCCTCCCCAGACCATACCAACAAAGTCAAGCACACCAACAAGGACGCCGATAAGACGGAGCCCTATGAAGAAGGTCCCAAGAGGGCTCACTGCGAACCAGAAGCGAGCGCTGCTTGATAACCTTCAACTCGAGAGTAAGTTTCAAAAACACGGGTGATGAGATGAGCGCCTTTAGCTCCTGGACTTACTAACGAATACCCTAGTCACTGAGCGCGCCAGAAAGCTTAGGGCTCAGTACATGCTTCAAGCGCAAGGCCTTCGCACCAGAATCGAGATCAGAGTCAACCGCATTCCCACGGGACTCCGCAAGGCGAAAATGGGCGACCTCCTTCTCAAATACAACGAGGCGAAGAGCAATGCCATCTTACCAGGGATGACTGCGCGAGGTGGCAATATGGGATCGCCATCCAGAAATTTCCTCCAAGAGAACCAGAGAAATGCCCGCAACAGCCCCTCGCCCATGCGCCAACTGGAACGCCACAGGTAAACATGCTCTACCCTCTGTATTTAAGTAATTACTGACAATCTCCAGCGGCCACATGCTAGACAAAGAAAACGAGGACCTCTCCAACCCCAAGAGACGCGCCAAGGCCGCACCAGCACCCCGCGTCGCTTCTCGGACCAAACAAGCCGACCAAGTCCTCTCTCCCCGTTCTGCAAACTCCCGCAACGCGCCCCAGCCACGATCCCCCATCCGTCCCCCAACCAGCCTGGCGCGTCCGGCATCACCGGTCAAGCTACTGCCTCCCGGTGGAGGAGCAAGCTACCTGACAAACATGGTTGAGAAGGCGAAATCAAGCCGTGCGGCGGCGACCCGAGCTTCGAAGACAGGGACATCCGCTGTGGGCAGGCCGAAGAAGCCGGTGGCTGCTGCGGCGCCAGCGCCGAGAGCGCGTCGAGGCAGGCCGAGCAATAGCAGTGAATCGAGCGATGCGAGTGCGAGGACTACGATTGTCAGCCGGGCTCCTGCGGCGAAGAAGGAGCCGGCTAAGAGGACAGTTATGGGGGCTCTGAAGAGTATTGGAGCGAAGAAGACGGCTGCTGTGCCTGCTACGTCGAGACCGGCGCCGGCTGGGAGGGTTCTGAGGAATAGAGGGGCTGCGTAGTGGTGTTCGTTGAGGAGCTCTTCTACGGCTGGATATAACGAGCGTCGATTTGTTGGTGTTTTGTACAGAGTTGCAGTCTAACGACACTTACCAAAGTCGCCACGATGGTATTGATTCCCCACCTCTTTGAGATGGGCTGTAGTCTACCATCGACGGTGACTCGAGATGGGCATGACATTGATTCCCCACATTCGTGGGTTGCAGTCTGTCATCCGCGGATTCTCGCACTGATTATGCAAACAGTGACTGTCGAAGGCTTGGCAATTAGACGCGTAAGAGGGGGGTATATGGATGGAAAGGGATATATTGGATATTGGATAAGGGACTATGCGAATTTGTGTTTTTTTGACTGGGTTAGCGGCAGGCGTTTGGGACACAGAGTTAATGACCAAGGGAATTATGGCCAGAATTCAACGGATGAGAAACATAGGATCAGCGAAAATAAATTCATTCGCACCTCTCTAAAATTTCCCCTGGCACTACACACTCTACTAACTCTTAATAAAAGCGGAGAAGAGGGGGAGAAGAATGACTGTGAGGAAGAGGAAGATGAAAAAAAAGGGGTGGGAGGGGGAAAGGGGATAGAAACGGTGGGAAGGAGTGTAGCAGAATGGCAGCGAGAGAGGATAACCAAGACGGACAAAGGGGACGGAATAAATCAACAAGGCATGGTTCTTGGGACCTACAGTACATATCTGGCCTATTTAGTACATATCTTTCACCGCATCGCAGCCCCGTCCAAAACCGAAAGCTTAGATCCTGTAGCCAATCCATAAATTCATCCACCCCCTCTTCTATCTACCCCCCCCTGGTACCACCCCACCTACGGCCCGGGCGCCGCGCCCGCCCCCTTCTTCTTCTTATCCTCCACCAACTCAATATTATCCCCCGGCACCAAATCCCCATACTTCTCTAACAAAAAGTCCTCAATCTCCGTACTCACATCTCCCTGCACCACAATCTCCTCCCCCCCACTCGCCGTCTTCGTCACGCTACTCCCCGTCGCAAACTTCTTCCCGAAATCCTTGCTCACCTTCTTCAGCTCCAGCCCAAAGGCTTCGAGGCCGGATACTGCCGTTACGTATTTGCGCTTGTTGCGCTCGACGCGCTTGATGATGATGCGGGAGGCGGCGAGGGCGGAGGCGTGCTTTTGTTCCGCTTGGGCGGCTTTGGCGGCTTTTTTGGCGGAGTCCTTTGTGGCGCGCTTGAGGGCGTCGATGGAGAGGGTGGAGGTTGCGGCTTCGAGGGCGTCTGGGGGGGTGGAGGTTAGCTTGCGGACTTGGGCAGGGTAGGGTAGAGTAGGTTGAGAGCTGAAAGGCTGGGGGTATGTGGGAAGGCGGGGGGGGTGAGGGTAGGGAGGGGGTAGGGGGAGGAGGGACGTACCAGCGGAGTAAATCCTTTCGGACATATCGGGATGGTTCTCCTCAAGCCATTCCTGGCATTTCTTCGTCGTCCCACCGAACTCGCAGTACTGCACCCACCACACTTGTCAGCCTATCCTGTACACCTCTGCTCCGGCTATCTCGGGGTTATCCCGTCTCCCGTCTCAAGAGTCATGTCTCCGTCTCGGTGGTCGATGCTGCGAAATGCTGGGGGGTTGCTGGGGTGTGTCCATACCTCAGGTGGCAGCGTGCAGACTATCCATACGTTAGTTTACGGACACCAGACAAGGAAGGGAGCGAGGGACGTACCGCCACAATACACAATATGTCTAGCCTGTGGCCCAAGCAGTGCCGTTTCCCTATCTGCCATCGCGGGTTGCTGTGATGGCTCTCGTGGTGGTGGTGGAAATATGTTGTTGTTGTTTTCACTATGGAGGGGTTGTGGATGGAGGGGTAGTTGTGCTCGTGTGGCGCTTGGAAACCAGTTAGAAGGGACGCTGGTGCGTTTGGTGGGGTGGGGGGGCGGGGGGGGCGGGAGGGCGGTAAACTGCCGCACTAAGGTGTGTGGAGGCGAGGTTATGTCTTGGTTTATTACCACCCACGACAAGGGGCCCGGTTGGGGGTTTAGATTGCGAGGAAGAGAGGCTGGTCATCGGTTTGGCGGTTTATGAAAATTGTGTTACTCCTCTTGAAGATGCGTTCTGCAACCTTGGACGTGAAGGGTGGCATACACCGGTTCTCTCACTGACATGACAACCTTATCAAATGGCACACTCACCTGCAAGAGGAGATATTTCCATACACCTAATCTACAACTCTGCTACTCTGCTCCAGCTAGTAAGCTCATTGCCCCCCCCCGGCCCCCGCTTTCCCCACAGCTCAAAATCCCCATAAATCCCTCTCCCCGTCCTATAATCCTAGCCACTCTTCATCCCAGTAAATATCCCATGCTCAGCTGAATCCCGTTTCCCATATACCCGCCCAAGTGTAGAGAAACCCCCCTCCCAATCCTTTCGTTTTGTAGTAATACACACACCCCATCCAGCCGTGCCAGCAGACCCAATAAACGCCGTAAGACCGCGCACACCGGTCATCTCATCAGGGAACCAAGAGGGAATCTGGTATGTCCGGCTCCCTGCTTGTCTACATCCCTATCTCATCCCATTCGATCCATCTATCCAGCGCCTCTTCAATATAAATCCCCGCTCCCCAGCTGAGAACTTGCAAAGTGTGAACGGTGAGGATAGGCCCCTTACCCTCTACCGGGGGTATGCGCCCCCATGAAGAAGCCGTCGCCGAAGCCCGTCCCGGACGCGGGATCCATCTGCATCTCCAGCGCATTGGCATCATACACTCCCGGAAAGTACGGCGGGTTAGGGTCGACAGCGCTGCCCATCTGGACGTATTGGTCCCAAGCGGCCTAAATAACACCACAGTCAGCAATCCACCACCGATAAAAAACAAAACAGTCAGGGCTGTAGATTCAAACTCACCCAGTCCAAATTATCAGGCAAATCGGTCAAACTCGCACCCCCCCCAACCCCCCAATACTGACCCAACTCCCCCCCGCCACCCCCTCCATAGGCCCTCCATACCCCTCCCCCCACATCCCCGGACTCGACGCCACGAACGCCGGCGGCGCCGCCACCCCCCCACTCGACAGCATCCCCAGCGTCATCGCCGCCGAGTGCTCCGGGTGCATCTCCTCATCCACCTCCTGGTTCACCTCACTCTGCTGCGCCTTGAGCTTATCAACCATAATCCGCAGAACCTTGGCGCCCTTGTACGCTTCCATACTAGTCGCCTGGTCGCCCTCCCAGATCGCCAGCGCGGTTTCGAGGGATGATAACATGTCGGCGCGTTGCTCGGCGGTCCAGAAGGTGTAGGAGCCGCCACCGCGGTCGTGGTTGAGATCGAGGGAGACGATCATGGCGCCGAGGAGGAAATCGTGCTTTTGTAACGCAGTCAGCCGCCACATCACCTCGCTGATCCGGCCGCCTGGTTGCGCCTCATGGTGCAGCGTAGCTTGGATACGGAGGAGTGCCATAGCGGCATCTACGGACGCGCGGCGCGAGTACGCGTACCGCGGATTCGTGCGAGCGCGCGCGATGAAGCGGCGGTGGAGGACGCAGATGGTTTTCTGGTGGAGGACTTCGATGTAGAAGCGCTGGAGGATGAGCGAGGAGGGGTCTAGAGCCGAGACTTCGAGGGGTCGGAAGCGGAGGTGTGGTTCCATGGTCATGCGCGCAGAGCGGATGCGGACGTCCCATTTCATGGTTGTGTCGTAGGAGGCTTGGGGGCCGGAGATGGATTGTGTTTCTTCGATTATGGCTCCTAGCAAGAGGACGAGGCGGCCCTTGGCGAGGATGGAGGACATGGGGGTTGCTTCAGTGGGGGGGCGGGAAGGGGGGAGAGAGGTGGAAGTGGTGCTGAATTCGTCGTCGAAGATGTTGCGCGGGAGTTGGGTGTCGCAGTCGCAGGACTTGATAATGTTGGGGAGGGTAAGTTGTGCGGAGAAGATGATGTCAATTTGGCGGACTATGAGCCACACACGGCGCCGCATCTCGGCTTCGTAGGGGGAGACGCTGGTGAATTGTGAGGCGTCGCGGTGGTAGCCCACTGAGGGAGTTTGTTAGTTTATTTTTCTGTAGGGAGAGGGGGGAGGGAGGGGTACTTCTCATCGCAACCTGGACGACTGTGCCCACAACGAGATACAGCCCGAAATCGACATCAAGTCTACTACTGTACTCCGCATGTACATATAGAACAAGCGTCTCGACCGTATACACGTTCGGCCTTGTATAATCACACGTCGCCAGCGACTGGACCGTTCTTCCCCGATACTGCGCCGCGAGCTCATTCGTCCGCCCCTTCCACTCCGGCGGCTCATCCCCAACCTTACTATAACTCAGCATTGCCAGCGTCAGCGTCGCGTAGAGCAGACCCACCCACGCCAAACTCTGGCTCTTCGGGTCCGCGAAAAACGCCTCGAGCCGCTCATAGAACGTCTTGTGGTGCAGCATTTGCACGAACGGATCGAGCGAGTTGAAGAAGCGCGCAACGAGTTTCTCGACCTTTGCGCGAGGCGGCAGGCCCGCGCGCAGCTCTATCTCCGTCGCGGGTGCCAGCCCTTGGAATAGGAAATCCGGCATCTGGCTCGCGGCGCTCGTTTCATTGACTTTTTTGTACTGGTTATCGAGCTCGCGTTTATGGTTGGTGAAGTAATTGCGAACTTCCGCGATCTAGTAACTGTCAGCTCTATTTCATTCGACAGTAACCAGCGCGCCCTGCCGCAGAGCAAGAGCGCTGATAATAGGGGGGGAAAGAGGACTCACATCAGATAACACAAGGTGCCAATGCGAATCTCCAATATACATCGTCTTCTCCGTCTCCGCATCAACTTTTAACACCCCAAACGAATTTGCCACTGCATCCACATCACTCTCTCCCCCTTCGTCCCCCTCTCCGTACTCTTCCTCTTCCTTAATCTTCTCCATTTCCCCATCATCCACCGCCGTACTCGTACTGGTACTCCCGCTCCTCTCCGCCGCCACCGCTGCTGTCGGTCCTGGTGCAGTCGAGCCGTTCGTCATCAAGGACAGAACGAGCCCTTCGAGCCGGTCGATGCGATTCTGCATATCGTCGGGTGAAGAGCCGAGGGGAGCGGCTTTGCGACGCGGGCCTGGGGCCGCGTAGGCGCAACCGGCGGCGTCACCGCGGCGGATGCAGTTCTCACATGGGATTGAGCGGCTGCATTTTAGTCTGTTGGTGGGCGGATTAGTCTGTGCCGAAAATACCGTGGAAGTGGGGTGGGAGGGAGAGGGAAGGGGAGTGAGGAATGAGGAATGAGGGGTCAAAGAGGGGCCTGAGACAGCGGGGAGGGAAAAACGCACTTCTTATGCCTACACGGCGCACATGACAATGGGACCCTATTCCTCTTCCTCACCACGCGATACTGCGTATCCGGAGAATTCCCCGTAGACGACCCCGTCGAAGGGGGCGCCGGCGACATCTTCTGTTTGTGTGGTGACTTTCCCGTTCCGGTTGTAGATAGATATGCGCACAGGTGGCGAAGCCTGTAACCTCCGTACAGTGAATGCGCTTTCTCTTTCTCGATCTCAAGAATTCGCGCGACAAATGCTGCTGCTGTGGGAGGTGCGGGCCCAAGGCAGAGATGCGCTACGTTTCCTCTCCACTCTCTTATCGTGCGTCGCAGGGTCCAATACGTAACTTATGCGCCCGTCCTTCGATGCTGTACTGCTCAAGCCTATAACCTCGTAAACGTCGTAAACAGGATGGAAGATGCGAATATCGAGACGTAAGAGTAGTGAGAGAAAGAAAGATCGAAATCCCACTCTCCTCCAACAACACAGCCGTCGTCAACGTTTTAGCTCAGCACCTAACTTACACATCACCCACCACCCACCAGCCCACTCAGCCCACTCAGCCCACTCAGCCCACCCAACCCGTCAGATCCCACTGTTTGCGCCAGGGCCCCAACGTCTTAGCGTGTCATCCACTGTGCCTGGCTTTGTCAGCAGGATCCCGATCCCCCAAACAGCCGCCTGGCCTCATGGTCAAGCGGTAAGGTATAGATGCAAAACGCACTCTGCGGGGAGGGTGTTTCGAATTGCCTAGACCTCTTTGAGGCGTCTTGAGGTGGGGGGCGGATGGGGATGGTTTTGTATGGGGGGATGGGATGGGTTCTTTATCACTTTTCCGGAGAACGGGGAATTTCATCCGATAACAGCTTCGCACATCTGATCACATTTAACGTCCCGGCAATAGATAACAACGTTGGTATAAAGACAAGGAAGGTGGTATCATTGCGCGCGGCTCTCGTCTCCTACGCTCTGTCTCCGTCGTTGGGTAATAGCAGCGCGGTATACTTCGATAACAAAAAATGACCGAGGGGGTATCCGTCCATCCACTCATTCCGTACAACTCGCCGTCCATAAAACCAATTACCTCCCACCATTCGTCGTTTCATCCTCTCATTACCCCCACCCACCATCCATCCCACCAGTCGCAGACGTCGTCGAGGGGGATGGCATCATCACCGTTAGGCAATAGAGCTCAAGTAGACCAAGCTAAACCACCCCCTTCGTTAGCACGTCCTCACATATGCTCAATAACATCCGCCCTAATAGCCTGAGAAAAGTGCGGGTCCGCACCTCCAAAGTCGCTGGTCTCCACTCCCTCCACAATCCTCTTCCCCCCATTCGCCACCGACCCCTCCCCCACACTATCCGCCATCGCCATCTGGGATGCCACGTTCGCGGGACCAGGCAGGAAGATGACCTTGCTATTCGCGCTCTTGGCCATGGCTTGCATAGCCTCCAGGTATCTGATCTGCATTGCGGGGGCGGAGGACAGGATGTCAGCAGCCTGGCGCATGAGTTTCGCGGACTCGACTTCCGCGCGCGCAGCAATGACCTTCGACTCTCCAATACGCTTCGACTGCGCGGCCATCGACAGCGAATCCTGCAGCTCGTTGGAGAAAATCATATCCTTAATCAACATACTCTCGACCTTGACGCCCCAGCCGGCGGCGACATCCTCGATGATCTCGCCGATGGACTGGGCGATCTCTTCGCGGCGCTCGATGACGTCCTGGAGGACGCGGGCGCCGACGACGTGGCGGAGGGTGGTTTGGGTGCGCTCGATGAGGGCTTGGCGGACGTTGGAGATGCCGAAGGCCGCTTTGTGGGGGGAGGTGATGTGGTAGTAGATTACGGAGGTGAGGTGGAGGGTTACGTTGTCTTTGGTCATGCAGACTTGTTTGGGGACCTCTGTGGGGGTAGGGTTAATAAGTCTGTATCCAAGAATCCTAGCATTGTAGGGTGGGAATCTGAAATCCCTTTGTTTGAAGGGAGGAGGGAGGAGGGAGGAGGGAGGAGGAAGGGGGAGAGACGTACCGACAATCTGAATCTTAACATCCACCTGAATCAACCTCTCACTCAACGGATTAATCTTCACCAACCCCGGATCAACCGCGCGATAAAACCTCCCAAACTTCGTCACCAACCCCACATTCCCCTGCGACACCGGCTTATACGGGTTCGGGCAGATAATACAGCACGGAATCGCGCCGAACGTGCCAATGCAGTTCCCGAGCGTGTTGATCATCGACCCGTACCACCCGTGCGTGCCCTGCTCGCTCTCGCCGACCAGGTTCTGCGCATAGCTCGGTTGCAGGTCTTCGCGGCGGGGAGGCTCGACGTTGATCAGCCGGCCCTCGCTGCGGGCGCCGCCGATGTTGGCGGGGCGTTGGTAGCCGCTGTCGGTGCCGTTTTGGGAGGGCTTGGCGATGGAGGTGGGGGGGGGAGGGGGGCGAGGGGGGCGGCGGAGGAGGTGGTGTTGTCGGACATGTTTGTGGTGGTTGGATTCATCAAAGCGTGGGGGTGGGGAATGAGATGCAGGAGGGTGAATTGGATGTGAAGTCGTTGATAACGCGAGTTTGTGAGATGAAACGACGGGGTATATAAAAGTCTCGATGAGGAGATGTATGTGATATGAGACGATACCTAGTGTTTGGGGGTGGGGGGGGTTGGGGGGGGGTTGGGGGGGGTTGGGGGGGGAACTGGCGATTTAGTGGTTAGTGGTTGCTGTTGGTGTTGTGGTAGGTCAGTGACGGAGCCTAAGCAGCCAAGAAAGTGATATGGTGGTGTGGAGGGATAGGTGGGGAGCCTTGTGTGGTACTCGTACTGGTCTGGTGTTTTGTGGTAAGTTAGAGTGTTTGTACGTACGTATGGTACTGGTCTGGTGTTTTGTGGTCAGAGTGTTTGTACGTACGTTACTCCATAGAGAACCCTCGTAGAGACGCCTCATTCAACGCTCCCTCGGAGATATAGCTCACCTCTCACCGTCCTCCTACAGTACAACATCCCCCTTCCGCTGCTGCGCCACCATCACCCACCACCCAACATCCTGACCTACCCATCACAAACGCCGTACCGCAGCACAGCCTGTCTATCGGAACTGGAGATGCTGGGCTGGGCTGCCGTGAGAGATGTTCACTGCGGTGGGTTGATCGGGTTATAAGCCACTGCACGGCTGAGAGGGTGGGTTTGTCGTAAGGCTGTCCCGAAGATGGAGGAGAGGGTTGTAGGGCTGTCCCGAAGATGGAGGAGAGGGTTAAAAGGCTGTCCCGAAGATGAAGGAGAGGGTGTTGTAAGGCTGTATATATATATATTTCCCAAGGCTCTGTAGCTCTTTTTATACCGCATTATATATGGCAGATACATCTCTTTCACCTTCTACCCCCTCTTTCACCCACAACTCCCCCTCCTCCCCCTCTCCCTCACCCATAACTCTTAAACCCAACCTTCTTCTCCCCCCCTCCCCCCCTTCCCCCCCCAAGCACCTCTCCCATCGCCTCCCCCAACTCCCCCACCGCCTCCCCCGTAATCTGATAATGCACCACCACCCTCCCCCTCCCACCTTAACCCCCCTCCTCCCCGCCGCTTGCACCCACTCCTCCTCCCCCACCCCCGCCGCCTCCAGATCGAGCCACACCATATTCGTCTCTACCTCTCTCTCCAGCTTCCCCCCCTTGCTTTCCCACATCTCTCCTACTCTCTTCGCCATCTCCTGACCCCTCTTCAACTTCCCCCCTAGGAAGGTTTCTTCAACCCCAATCCGCGCAGCTGCTGCCACGACACCGCTCTGGCGGAGGCCGCCGCCGATACTCTTGCGTACCCAGCGGGCGCGCCTAACCACCTCCTTACTGCCCACAAGCACACTCCCGATCGGCGCCCCAAGCCCCTTACTAAAACACAAACTCACCGTATCAAAACACCTCGTATACTCCTCCAACCCCCCCGCACCCGCCACAACAGCCTCCCACAATCTCGCACCATCAAGGTGCATCAATATCCCCTCCCCCCTCGCCCATTCCGCTATCCGTTTCGTCTCCTCCAGTGGCATTATGGAACCCCCCAAGGTGTTTTCCAAGGAGATCACCCGCGTGGGACACGCATGCACATCATCCGACAACACAACCTTCCTCTGCACATCCTCCAGCGTCAAGTACCTCCCATTCCCCGCCACAACCCCCTGCACAAGCGCACCGCTTAAACTCGCCACACCCCCCGCCTCCCACTCCAGTATATGCGCGCGATCGTCGCACAACACCGCGTGCGGCGGCTGGGTCAGGAGAGCGCGCAGGGCGAGCTGGTTACCCATTGTGCCGGAGAGGACGAGGAGAGCGGATTCGTGGCCGGTGAGGGAGGCGAGGCGGGTCTCGAGGGAGATGGTGGAGGGGTCCTCACAGAAGACGTCGTCGAGGAGGGTTGCGCTGCCGATGGCGTGCAGCATGGAGGCGGTGGGGCTGGTGACGACGTCGGAGCGGAAGTCGGTGGAGGAGGGGTAGGGGGAGGTCCAGGTTGTTGGGGGGGGGGAGGGGTAGAGGTGAGGAGGGGGGTGGTTGTTGAGAGGGGTCGTGTGAGCGCCCTGTCTGCGGCTGTTGCTGGGAGGCGTTGGTTACTTCAATTGTGTCTGATGTCTGAAAGTAGTAAGGGTGGGTAAGGAGCTTACCACCAAGCCGTCTACATATCTGCTGCCGCGCAATGGCGCGCGTGAGCCGTTGTGGTCGCGAGAGCATTTCGCGGAATTGTTGGCGTTGGTGGTTGAGGGAGGAGGGGCGACAAGGTGAGGCTGGCAGGGGGGTGGTGGTGCGTTTTGGTTTGGCGGCGGCGGGCGGGTTTGGACATTTTTTTCAGGTACGGAAGGGGGGGTAAGATAAGGTTAATTATAAAAGAATCCAAGGTGGTAAAAAGGCGGGTTTTAACTTTGTTTTGCTTTTGGGAGTTTGTTCAGTCGCTGAACTCCATCGCTCCTTACTCTCCTTACTTAGATGCCATGCGTTGCCAACTCATACAGGACCTTCCTGACCTTCCTTGCCTTCCTCATCGCTGGCCATGCTCTTCTCATGCTGCCGGTGCATGCCACCTCAGACATCGTCCAGTTTCGCCGACATCTACTTCATCCTCTCTACTCTCCTCAAAATGGGACAGTTGCACATGAACCCCATCCCAATCCAATCCAATCCAATCCAATCCCTAGTCGTCGTGTTAAAGTATCTCTCTTCCCATTTTCGGTTTCTACCCGCCTCCAACATTCTGATACCCCTTCGTGCAGGGATGCATGGATTCTCCAATGACATTACTCGTTATTTTATCTATATACACTCGCTAGAATTGTTGCATCGCGTTGATTTCTGTATCGGGACGATTTGAGCACTGTGCTGTACAGTCACCGACCACCCACTGCTATTAACCGAATCGCAAAACCACCCGCGAAGCCACCGAACGTAGATAATTGATTTGCTCGTAACATATGCAATTTTAGAGTGATAGATGTAAAAAGGGATCCATTGTAATTAGAATAATAGTATATAGTATAAAAATGAGTATTCTAGTATTTTGTATGCTACCCGTCTGCTTAAATGCACGCCTCAATTCTACTCGGCAACTCTCATACAATTTATCAAACAATGACTTGTCTAATGTGTCCTATGCTGCTTGCAAACATGATTCTAGATGCTACCTTGCATGTTCTAAGTTTGATTTATCCTTTGCAATTTCAGGGAACATCTCACACACCTAGGTTTTTAAGTGCTACTAAATGTGCTCAATGAGGTTGAGGTTAGGAGTAGGGCGGCTACCTATAGAGTGTAGTAATCAGATGCTCCTCAAGTAAATCTGTAACCTTGCCCGTAGTATAGATAGGAGCATTATCTTGCATAAATGAGTAGCTAGAGTCAAGAGGCTTAAAAATAGGGATGAGTTCTGCTTCTAGAACCTCAAGGTATGAGTTTGTAGTATATCTAAACTTCTTTGACTTAAAGTCACGGTCTATGAGGTATAAATTGCTCTAGCCTTCCACGTATGCCTAAACCCAAAGGATACATACCAAGAAGTGAAGGATGCTTGTAATGTTGCTTGCTCAACATCAACTATAAAGAGGATACTACAAGAAGCAGGCATAGGCAATTAGCGTGCAAAGCGTCGTCCTTTCTACTGCTAATACATGCAGCTAAACGGCTTGCATGGTGTTTAGTATGGAGGAATTAGACGGCAGAGGATTGGGGTCAAGTTGTGTGGAGTGAGTGCTCTGTTAAGCAGAGGCGGGGTAATAGGAGCGAGTGGTGTTTCCGCACACCTGCTTAGAAGTGGCAGCGGGAGATGATCCAAACCTACAGTACAAAGAAGAACACGAAGATCATGGTTTAGGGGGGCTTTTAGGGGCGGAGTATAAGGCGTTGCTCTGCTTCTATGTATGACTTTCCCCGTGGTGTACGGGGTAGGCTCTTGCCTTCTGTGCGTATTAGGTCAACTGCAATTGTATATCGTATAGTGCTTCGGTCAAGGTTTAGGTCGTGTGCAATCTTAGTAGGTGTTGCACCCTCTAACTGCCTCCTAATAATCTGCCCGCGTTAGTATGGGCTTAATTGGCCACCGGGCTGTCGATTCGATTCCCATCGATTGGAGCCAAAGCCCTCCGAGTTGGTGGCATAATTATGGTTGTTGTACAAGGAGGGGTGGGTTACGCGACGGGATTTACGCGTCAAATTGGAATTCGGTTAATAGCAGTGTACGCTCCATACCCGGTTACCCCTCAATCGCGACCCCCGCGCCCACGACGCATCACCATTCCCACAATCGGCGGGTGGCCTCTATTAACCGTGGCCTCTATTAACCTACTATGACCGTCGCCGCCACCCGGGCACGGAGTCAACAGTCCACGCCCTCGGTCCAATCCACCTCCTCAAACACGAGCGTCCACGTCTCGGCTATCAAGTACGCGCTCCAAGCCGCGAAGCTGTCTCACCTGCCCCAAGATGCGGAAGGCACTAATGATGGAGCCGCAGCCGTAGAAGCGGAATGGATCACGCCGCAGAACCCGGTGATTATTACGGCAGATGGGGGGAGGTTGCCTGGGGTGCCGTTGGCGGAGGCGCATAAGTTGGATCAGTTGAAGGATGAGGTTGATGTTGGGATGGGGAAGGGGGTGGTGGAGGGTGAGTTGGAGGGTGAGGTGGAGGGTGAGGTGGAGGGTGAGGTGGAGGGTGAGGTGGAGGGTGAGGTGGAGGAGGTCTCTGATGAGAATGGGGAGGGGGTGGGCGGGTCAGCGTCGCCGGCGAATGGATCACCAAGTCAGGTGAAGGGGTCGGTTCAGAGGTCAGGGGAGGGGTCGTTAACGAAAGCTATGCCGCCGAGTCGGACGAATTCTTTGTTCCCGCCGCTGCCGCTGTATGGGCCCCCTTCGCTGTTACGGAATGCCCAATGCGCCGTCTTCAGATGCACGTCTGCGGTTCTTTCTCTAGTGTTTCTAGGCGTCATCGTCTTGGGCTCAGCGTTTACAAGCATACCCCTGATGTTCAACCACATATGGATCCGTCTCAAGCTCCAAAACCCCAACAAACGCCGTCCCTTCTACGAGGAAGAACAACGCCGCTCAATCCTCCGAAAGGAAGGAGAGCAAGAATGGAGAAAGAAGAAAGCCCGCCGGCAAAGCAATACAGTTCGCGACGACAACGAAGCCGACGCCGGCCAAAACAACGGCTTCACCCCCACCGAAGGCGGCCCCGACCCGCTCATCTGCGACGTAGCCTACTACGCGCGCCGCGTCGGTCTGGACATGGAAGAATTCAAAGTCCAAACCGAAGACGGCTTCCTCATCGACCTCTGGCACATCTACGACCCCAGCGAATACACCCCCCTCCCCCCCGCCTCCCGCTCCCCCCTCGGACCCTCCGCCTTCCCCACCTCCTCCTCTCCCCCCGGCCCGGACCCAGAGACAAAGAAAAAGCCCAAATACCCCATCCTAATGATCCACGGCCTCCTCCAGTCCGCCGGCGCCTACTGCACCAACGACGACGCATCCCTCGCCTTCTACCTCTGCAAATCCGGTTACGACGTCTGGCTCGGCAACAACCGCTGCGGTTTCTCCCCGCAACACACGCTCCTCTCCTACTCCGATCCGCGGATGTGGGCGTGGAATATCCGGCAAATGGGCGTACTCGACCTCCCCGCCCTGATCGCACGCGTCCTCTCCGCTACTGGCGCGCCGAAGTTGGGATTAGTAGCGCACTCCCAGGGCACGACGCAGACGCTCGTTGCGTTGGCGAAAGAGCAGAGGCCGGATTTGGGGGAGCGGATTAGTGTCTTTTGTGCGCTTGCGCCAGCGGCGTATGCGGGGCCGTTGATTAAGAAGATGTATTTCAAGTTCATGCGGCTTATTTCGCCAGGGGCGTTTAGGGTGTTCTTCGGGATCCACGCGTTTATCCCGTTTATGATGACGATGCACTCACTCCTCCCGGGGAAGCTGTATGGTGCGCTCGGGTACCGCGTGTTTAGCTTCTTGTTCGGGTGGTCGGATGATAGGTGGGATAGGGGGTTGAGGGATCGCATGTTCCAGTTTAGTCCGGTGTATGTGTCTGCTGAGTTGATGAGGTGGTGGTTGGGCAGGGACTGCTTTGCGAAGCAGAAGTGTATTTTGCAGACGAGAGAGGAGTGGAGGGAGGAGGATACGCAGTATAAAGTGGAGGAGGAGAAGCGCTCGTCTCCCGCTGCTACTGCCGCTGACCCAGAGTCCGGAGTCGAAGATGTCGAGAGGAGTGAAAGCCACGCCCACAAGGCGTCGACAGCGTGGTATGACCACCGCGCGCCTCCGTTCGCTCTTTGGGTCGCGGGCTCTGATCTCCTTGTTGATGGCCGGCGATTATTGCACCGGTTTGCGAGCGGAAGAGAACCGCATGTTAGGGTTGTGCATCAGAAGATTATAGAGGAGTACGAGCATCTCGATGTGATATGGGCTGTTGATGTGGTGGAGCAGGTTGGACGCGAGGTTAAGGAGGTGTTGTGGGCGACGTGTGAGGGGAGGGAGGGGTGGAGAGTGCCGGTGGGGTGTGAGGAGGTTGACGTTTGGGATGGGGAGGGGGTGGTGGGAAGGGGGAAAGAGAAGGGTGGTGAGGGGAGTGGGAGTCCAGAGGGGAGCGGGAGAGTGAAATCGACTAAGCTGGACGGGCGAGGGTGAAGCACAGGGGGCGCCTGGGGGGTTGGTTCAGGGGATGAGTGGAGCCCGAAATTTGGCGAGTATATATGTGCTTGGAGTTTTGGATCTGGGCCCAGGAAAAACGGGAAAGGAATTGGATATACAGCACCCCTATTATTATAAACCTACATTACATCTGACATTCCCACGACCATAGAAACCCACCCCGCCTTACCACCCATTCTCAAAATACACACTCGCAATCCTCATCCGATTCCTCCCTACAACCATCCACCCCCCCTTCTCCCTAAACTGCCTCCCCACCCCCCTCTGGAAGCCCCTAAACTGCTCGTTCTCCTCTTCCCCATGCCCTCCTTCTTCCTCCTCCTCCCCCTCCGCGCCCTCAAACTCCCTCAACAAGCACCTCCCCCCATCCCACCCCTCCGGCGGCTTCACCTCCGTCCCGCATCCCGGTCTGGGGCCAATAACAAGCACGAACCTCTCCACATCCTCGAATAAATCTCGACCGACGAAACGTAATATCATCGCCCCCTGACTACTCGCGAACTGGCTCGCGCTGACCCCTATATTCCTCAACCCCGTCACCGGTGATTCCTGCGCGGCGAGGAGGTCACGTATCCATTTTACCAGCCGAGAGACTTTGATGGTAGGTTCGTCCCCGAGCAGCACGAGGGTGTCTCGGTCCGGCGCGATGTAGAGGACTCGTCGCTGTGCCCAGGGCGAGCGGTGGTGCATTTCTGAGGCGAGGGGGAGGGCGATGGAGTAGGTTCTCAAAGCGGCGTTGCGGGACTCGAGGCTGGTGGACAAGGCGGCGGGGTTGTAGGAGCGTGATTGGAAAGGGGGGGGGCCGAGGGAGTCGGGCGGGGAGGTGTTGTGTGGGTTTGCGTAGTGAGCGCATGGGGAGTGGAGTTCGAGGGTGCGGGGGTGGAGGGAGAGAGTCCAGATTGAGACGCGGATTTCGGGGGGGAGGTGGGGGAAGAGGGGGAAGGTTTGGAGGTTGTTGGTCGAGGGGGTGGGCGGATGGGGCGGATCCGTCGAGGCCGCCATGGTGAGGTTGTGAGGCGTGGACTAGGTTCCCTCCTTCACGAAGATCATTGGGGAGAGCTAGACACAGCAGGCTTGTGCTAGTCCCCCTTCGTGTAGATCCTGGGGAAAGCTAGATGGGGAGAGCTATGAGGGGAAGGGTAGGGTTTGTCGATGGGGTTTGGGAGGTGAATATGGAATATCACGCCAGTTTTGTAAATGTAGTCGCGGCTTTGTAATGCCAGTAATTTAGCCTCTTGTGGCTTTGATGGATGTGGCACCTCTGTACAACTTTCGTGAATACCAGTTGTATGTAGCACCGCGTGTAATAAAGTTATAATTAGTGTCACCTAGCCTAGCGGGTAGACCCTCGCCGCCCCCCCCTTACTCCTTTTTTTGTGATCACGACTACCTCGACTCCCATAACAACTTAAAAAGTAAGTCTCATCTTTACAGCGCGATATCCCGCGACGGGGAAAATATTATTTGGGAGAAGGATGACCCGTGAACGAACCTTGTTAATCTGCTTTGGCGATAAAATTTGCATGTCTATCTAACTATAAGGCACGCCTTGCGCAGACAGGCGACGCCACAAAAATGTGCCCACTCTTGGGCCAGGGAAATCGCTAGATCCTTTTCCGCAGCAACAATGAGACGATGTTGAAGACGGCGGTAAAGAGTGTGGCGTCTACTGCGAGCTGAAAGTGTGAAGCAGCGGCGTGCATTGCAGCGAGATAATTATAGACGCAGCCTTGCCGTCAACACTACAATATAACCTGACATTTCCTCCTGTATTTTGACTTTGTGATTATTAATTTGCGATGTAGACGATGTCGATACTCGGATCTATTATATCGCAAGTCTAGCCTCTCAAAGGGGCTGTCGTTCTGCGAATATCAAGCGTGCAAACCTGGTCTATGGAGATACTCAGATCCATTATATCGCAAGTCTAGCCTGTCGAGGGCTGTCGTTCTACGAACATCAAGCTCAGCAAGCTTGGTCTCTGGGGATACTCAGATCCATTATATCGCAACTCTCGCATGCCCAACTTTACGCAGGGTCTCTCGAGAGGTTTTCGTCGTGGCACAAATATCAAGCGAAACAAGCTGCATCTCTGACCCCTACTCGATAAATACTGCAAATCGATTCACCGCAGGCGGCCTGCATGTCCCATAATATTCGGTCCTCGAGTGAATGCATCTTTGCCCTCATTTCGGCTTACTCCCAAGTTGCTCAGGCATATACAACGTTTGAACCAGAGTGTACGAATCCTAAAGAGGCAGTCAATTTTGTCTCTTCGCCTCCTACACGTGGCACGTTGGATATACTATGGAGCTCTCTGTTCACTATATTTGCGTGCACCTGGACTGTTCTACACCTCAATGTACCAGAACAGAGGGACGATCGAGATCCTGGGACATGGGGGGATCTCAAATGGATGTGCTGGCAATTTGGGGCAAGGCAAAATGGATGTTCAGGGCAGTTTTGGCCCCTGAAATTGTTCTGTACTGTGCAGTCGCAAGAGTCGTGGATACCTGGCAAGACCACCCCAAGTTAAAAACTTCTGCAAATGCCGACCATGTTCCATGGACGCAAGCCCATACGGCATTTGCAGGTATGGGTGGTTTGTTGTACGGGGCAATTCAGATCGCGTTGGCAAGGATCTTCCTAGGTCTGAGATATCCACAGAGGAAATCCAGTTACCGGCCGCTAAGGAATGTTATATCTTGGACGTAGCACTCGAAAGGGGATATTTTCACCAGGGGTATAGCCGCCGCTCAAATCATCTTGACGATTGCGAGCGCTGTTACTCGAGCCCTTCGAGGTCTTGCAATATCTCAGCTCGAAGTATCTGTGGTAGCGTTCTCAGTGTGCGCACTTATCATCTACGCTTGTTACTGGTCCAGCCCCAAAGATGCGTCGGTTCCGATAACTTTTCTCGAGTGGGGAGGACCTATACCTTCACCAATTATAAAAGTTCTTAAAAAGTCCAACATAGGCCAAACCTCGATTTCGAATAGCAGCGGCTACCAACACAATATCGGGGTCGACGGTGTCGCACTTGTACTCGGCTCTCTCGCATCTATTGGCGTGGAATTTTACATTCCCTACCCCAGCTGAGAGGATTGTATATCGTGCAACATCGGTATATTGTTTGTCAGCTGGAGTTTTATTTCTTGCAGTTGTGATAACAGGCCTACCAGAATCTTACGATACGTTTTCTACATTTGGCGTTATAGGAATTTACGGATTAGCACGACTCTTCCTAATAGTTAAAATGGTTAGAACTCTTCTTTTCTTACCTCCAAGAGCTTATATTGCAACTTGGACCTCAAGTGTGCCTATGTTTGGTTAAGGATCGGGGGGCTGAGTGTAACGCTGACTTCTAAACGATAGAAGACACAGAGGTTCTCTTGCGTAAAGGTTTACTTATCAGAGGAGGCAGGGGATCAGACACAAAGGCTTCAAGTAACACGTTACTAGTATATAACAAATACTGTATTGAGTTGAGCACGAAGCTCCTATCTAAGGAAATACTATCTACTTATATAGTGGCGTCGTGCCTAGTGGACTCTTGGGAACTCACTCGAGTCCTCGGAGTCCTGGACTCTTAGGACTCTTCTCATCATCCTGCGAGTCCATCACGTGCCTAGTGGACTCCTGGGAACTCACTCGAGTCCTCGGAGTCCTGGACTCTTAGGACTCTTCTCATCATCCTGCGAGTCCGTCACATGATACTTTCGGAACTACTATTCCCCGCTGCCCCTCCAGGTACCAGGGCCGGTCTCATGCGACCTCCCTCCTTCCTGTCCTGTAGTTGGCCAGCCTTCTTGTTCCGTCGTAACACTGAGAACTTTAATATATATCATACACTTCATCACATACCTAAGTGATTGAGAGCATCTATTTTACTTACAGCCACTATGAACGGTGCCACTATTTATAATCCCTAGTGATTGAGAGTATTTATTTTACTTGCAGCTACTATAACTAGCGCTGTCATGGGTAGTCCTTGGTTATTAAGAGCATTTATTTTACTTCAGCCCCTATAAACAGTGCCATTATAGACGGCCTCTCTTCAGACCTCCAGACGGCATGAGTATATCCCCAACGGGTTTCTAATATCCGTCACCAGCATCCAGTGTCCCTCGTCTCATGCTGCTTGAGTGTAGCATCGTTGCTATACCTCCCTACGCCCCAATTCCGATCACAAGACTAAATATGGCAAATGTGAAGTACGCTGCGCGGGCAGTGGATATGGTAGTCATCGACGAAGAATAGCAAGTGGCGGCCTAAGAGATCCTCGCCCACGCTCTAGCTCTCGGATGGTATTCACACACGGAGAGATACACAAGGCCTCTGAGTCAGAAATATAATAAGGGGCATCCGAATTCGAAACAAAGCGCTCTGGTCCTTCACCAAATACAGATTAGTTTGAGGTCTAGATTGCAATAAATGAGAGAATGGATAAGCACCTTCCATTCCGTCATTCTATGAGAATCTTTGGGGTCGAAAACGCAACCCGGCCCCTTCTCAGGGAGCAAACAAACCTAGAAGTAGGAATACATTTTGTTGGATAACGTGAATTTTACTTCTGACAGACAGTCACAGTAGAAATGGGCGAAATCATATCCCACTATATCCTCCTCCTCTCTGTTACTTTACCTGTCTCCAACCACGCCCGTATACCCAACGGCAACCAAATCAACCTCGTCGCCATCCGCCCCTATTCACCACCACCACCACCACCACCCACCTTCACGTGATACCGCGCTCTCTCTCCCATTCACATGCTCCACCTCCCCATCGGCTCCGCAGCGGCCCGCATCCCCTCATTAGGAAAGCCGCGCTGCATTACGCTGTCCTCCACCTCACTCCACCCCCACACCCCCACACCCATAGTTATGCTGGTGGAGAGGAGGAGAGGGTGTGACGTTGGCGCCACAAGATAAGGAGCCACACCCCTTCTACTCCGAGAGCGGTGAGAGAGCACCTAGACGATTCCATCGCGCTGTGGGTATGCTGGCTATAGATAGCGATGCAATGACCATGTGGCGAGCTCGATATATGTGAGGGGATGGAGGGTTGATTAGCTGTGGTGGGAAGGGATGGGGTTTGAATCGTGTCGTGCAGATGCAGTACCGCACCCTACCGCTACCGCGCTAGATAGCTGGGATGCGTATGCGGGACGATCGATAAGGGAGGGAGAGAGGGGTGGGGGCGACCAATGGGTGGGTTTATGTATGTACTGGATATGGGCGATTGGGGAGGGGATGTTATCGTTTGTTGATGCTGACGGAGGGGTAGCTAAGTATAGTGGAGGTGAGCTTGCATCAGGACGCGCAGGGCATTACCTCATTGTTTTGGAGCTGTAGAGGTACAGTGAGCTATACGAGGACGAGATCGACTCATCGAGATGGTTCATGGCAGAGGTCTGGAGCTCAATCCCCCTCGTCGTAAGCATGTTGCGTTTCGTCTCCTCTCCACCCAAGTGGAGCATCATTGACATCAAGAACCTCGACGCAATCGCCCGCCATCCCACACCGTCAGCACGTGTAAACCCCTCCCCGGCCCCTCAACCCGTAGCCCACCCCCCTAGCCGCCCTGCGAGAGGCACACTCGCCGCTGGAGTTGCCGATCCGCATCCCATCCCGAGGAGATATTTGCAATATAACATACCCATTATGCGCCGGGATCTGACACACACACAGCGTTGGTGGTGTGTATATCTTATCTTGGGCTAGGTATATGGTCTAGTTGGAGTTGAGTGATATAATTTAGAGTTGAAAGTGTTAATTAATTATATTGTCACATTCTAGGGATTAGAAAAAGCAATATATATTCGAGAAAACCAAGCGTATTATAAATGTAATATGAAACATACTTTTACACATCGTAGGTTGCCAGCGTTTCAGCTTTTAAGTTTCATACATTTACACATCATAGGCTGCAATCAGCTTTTATATAAAACTTGTTGAATAAGAAAGTGGTTTATTGGAGTACAAATATACCAGTCGTACAAGAACACCCTCAAGTCGTCCCCATCACAAACACACAAAGCAATTTGGCGCAGCTGAAGTACGCTGGGCTCATAACCCAGCGGTCGCATGATCTAAACATTTAAATACTCATTAGAACCTACAATAAGTAAATGTCTAAGTTGTGAATCAGGATATAGCTTTATTATAAAAATCTAGCATGACTCAGTAATACAAGAATCCCAACAAGCCTTCACCGTCACAACAAACAAAGCAATTTGGCGCAGCGGAAGCGCGCCGGGCTCATAACCCGGAGGTCGCATGATCGAAACATGCAATTGCTAATTCTTTTGTTTTTATTTTTATTTTTTTGCCCTTGTTCGCTCAGTTGTTTGTTTTAGATAGGCGGGCGCCGAGCTGGGAGTCATCGATGCCATACGACTTGACTATTCGCGCTAGGTCGGGACGTCATGGCTATCAAACAAACCCAACAAGCCAGAGACACCCAGCGTACCATCAAAGCTGAAAACGCGCTGCTCGCGTCGCGTCTCCTCTACCTCAGGGCCCGGGTTCCGGGGTAGCCGTTACGACCGCCTCACTCGCTCCGTCAACTAGACAGCGCGCCGGATGCGGGGCGCGGGGTGTATGGGGTTGGAATGCGGGCGTCTCTGTTCGCATCGCGGGTGGTACAGTATGGGAGAGTAGGAGTGGCGACTGGCACGGGATGGGAAGGATCGGGATCGGGAGTGCTCTGGTTCTTTTTGATTCAGGAGGCAGGCGATGCGCGCGAGTCCGAGGTTGGGAATGTTTTTGCCGATTGATTCCGAACCCAACTTATCCCATGCCGTCTCATGCCTGGCCGCGCCGCGGTGCGGTGCGCTCGCCTTCACAAGTGAGAAATGCATCTCCGCGATCCGACACAGCCTACACGGTATACCGGGGGGCGTGAGACAGCGCTGATAAGGCGAGACATTCCACGTGGATCAAACGGGTGTGCAGGACGCATTGGGTGCGCTTCCCGACCCGGGTTCGTCGCGGAGGAGAGACGCGGTGGGTATGTAGAGTACCTTTGCACGGCGAGGAGACGGATGGTTCGCGCTGGTGTTTGTCGCGGACGGGGTGCCGGAGTTGGATGGGCATGCAGGTGTGAAGGGGGGATGGGGGATGGGAGCAGTAGGGGGGTGGAAGGGCGCGTGTCTTCTCATCGGAAGCAGGAAGGCTGTAAAGTGTCCGCAGCGTGATGTGAGGTGGTGTTGGTGGGCGCTGTGCGACTGTTACAGCTACTGTAGAGGCTGCAGCTGTGGCGCGCTGCTGTGAGTAGGGAAGGAGCAGATACCGTGAAGGGGGTGGGACGTCAGAGGTTGCGATAACAGCGCGAGGACTATGGTAAGGCAGAAAGGAGGATAGCTAGAGAAACTCTAGCTGGCCGTTGAGTTATCTCGAGGAGGCTCGGCCCGAGGGATGACGGGGGGAGATACAGAATTGTAGAGATACGTATAGATAGGGGGGGCTGGAGGGGGGCTGGATATATCGCAGTTGTTCTGGCTGGACAGTTGGTACTTTGAAGCCATGTAGGTATTGGAATCCGCATCTACAGGTTGCTGTTTTGATTGTCGTGCATCGTCGACATATATCCATACAACACATATACACACACCACTCCACCGGATATCCCAACTCGAACATCCCGATTGTCGTTACGTGCTGACCCCCCACCCCTCCGCGTGGAGGTGTACAAGCTGTCGCCATTGTTCCTGGATGCTGACCTCAAACCTTGACACTTTTGACACACCTCCAGAGCTACGTACTCTGTACTCTATCGGCATGGGTGTGCATGGATGGCTGGCTCTGGTTATCACATCATGGACAGCTGTTAGCGGACGCTTGACTGTGCATCAGGATGAGCGGCCAGTAGGGGCCGATGGTGCAGCCCAGGTGCCCGGTTGCTTGATGGTGTATTGACTGCATAGGCTACACTTTGCGTTTTGTGTATGTATAATGTAGTTTGTACAGCCATATGCCATAGATGTACAACTTAACAAACCTATGGACGAACTGCAGGATATACGAACTTACCTCCTGTACATCCAATGTATGTTGTACTGGGTTGCTGTATGCAGTTCGGTATGCACGTCAGACGCCGCATGCAACTCTCCACACTGGTTGCGCGATCCAGGCCACCGACGACGTAGCGACCTCGACAAATCGACATAGGGAAAGCGTCAACTGACCTCTCCGCAGCTCTTCGTTCGTAGTTACTATGGATGGCATAGGGAAGAGGGGACTCAATTAAACCCGCGACAAGTACCCTCCAAGAAGCCAGTTCCCCTCCCGTCAAACGTATCGCGGTAACCATTTGAGCACAAGCACAGCCGTGGGAAGGCACGGGTTTTGTCGCTGTCGCCTTCATGCATCGACTCTCTCGGCTTCGTTACGCGCGCTCGAAAATCTTCCGGCAGAACCGCCACCCTGAAGGATTTCTTCAGTTGTCGGTGGTATAGAAGGGGCACACGAGGGGCTCGGCGGATGGCCCTTGGACGGCCCTTGGTGTGGAGCGGATGCGCATTGTTTCTGTGGGGATGCGGTTGGATTTTTGCCTCGTTTTGCGTGGTTTTGCCACTGGGGATGGGGCTACCTGATCGACGACGGCTGGACGGCTGGACGGCTGGACATGACTGTTTAGGCCTGAGTGTAACAATAGGTTAGCGGTAGGCTAGTGTTAGGTAAGTGATGGTAAGTGAAGCTTGGGAGAGTCTTGCTTTTCCTGGAAGGCCTCGAGACATGTAATTGAGCATGGTTTGTGCATAGTAAGTATGGGATTTGTATGTAGAGCAGAGTAGAGTACACTGATTGGTGATACAGGTATGTACTGTACATTCAGCGTCGATATAGGGCTCCTTGTAGAGTAACTTGCAGTCGACTGACCTGGCTGGACTCGTCGACGTCGACGGGAGAGGTACGGATCACCCCGCTGATTGTCCTCATCCCGAAGCCATTTTGATCGCATTGTGTCGTATTGTGCCCTGATATAGAAATGTTCCGGATTATCTTGTTTTCTTCTGTATCTGTGGTCTCTTCTGTATCTGTTGTCTCTTCTGTCTCTGTTGTCTCCTCGGTCTCTGCTGTCTCCTCTGTCTCCTCTGTCTCTTCTGCATCTTCTGCATCTGTTGTCTCTTCTTGCTCTCCTGCATCCCCTCATCTCCTGTATATCACTCACTGCGCACGGCTCCTTATCTACGCTAAGGGTTCGTGGCCAGAGCGGAGAATGGGAAAATGGGAAAATGCAGAAAATGGAGAAAATGGAGAAAATGCTTCACTAGCTGAACCCACTACTCCCACTCCCACTACTCCCACTACTCCCACTACTCCCACTACTCCCACTACTCCCACTACTCCCACTACTCCCACTCCCACTAGCCCTTACCCCAGCCAACTATCCAAACCGCCTACCCTAACTACTTACCCCATCCATACCCATCCCGGCTGTTCCCTCTGTTCCCTCTGTTCCCTGCAAAACTAACAACCTCGACAAATAAACTCTACTACTCCCCTCCCCGTCTGTCGCTCTATTCTTGAATTCCCTTTCTTCTTTCTACTCTATAACTTACTTTCTCTCAATAATTACCTTAATATACTCTCTTCTCTCTCCACTTCTATCTCATTCCCCGCAAAAGTCTTCACGAACGAGAGATCAGATCATATCACCCCACAATCTACCGTTCGAACAGTCATTCGATCCGTCACTGCCGCCCTGTCAACGCTAGCACGACCACCCATAAGAGTCAAGAAGTCGAAGACCATCATAGATTGCTCGCCTATCCCCACGATATCGTCACCACGACTCTCTGATCTGACACAGGCAACAGACGATCTAGACGGGCCCCCCCACGCTTGTCTCATGCTGCGAAACTAAACGTTCGGATCTCCGACGTGTCTCGTCCTCCGCTCCTGCATCCGCCTTGACAATCCGTCCCATGAGAGGCGGTCCACCACCAACCTTGACCGCCACGGGTACCAGGAAGAGGAGGATAAAAGGGCACCAGTCTAGGTCGCTTCGACCATAAACAGACATATATCGCTCCCCGCCCCCCCCCCCCCCCCCCGACTCCGAGGCAGCCCACGCTCCACACACGCGACTATGGCCGTGGTATTATTAGCCGACGAGAATCGGTATTTCTCATCCAGTTCGCTCAAGAGGTCGCATTCGGGGAAGTTCACAAACTCATCATACGCGCCTCTTGCGCCCTCGCCCTCGAAATCAGACCTACACAGCCAGATCTCCTACAACACCAACACCGTCTCCTCACCCCTGGCATCCGCTCCGTCGCCCGCACGGTCGCCACCACCTATGGTCCACGCCGCTGATTCCACCACCGAATCCTTCTCTACTACCGAATCTTTCCTCTCCACACCCGCGACCAGCATATCCTGCGCGGACGACCAGGACGACGATCAGATCGTGTTCCCCTCGTATGACGAGGTAGGATACTACGATCAGGACCAGTCTGAAGATCTGGAGCCACCTGCGAGTCCGCGCGGTAATGGGGAGTCATACACCGTCTCGCCCACGTCGAATACCGCCTCGACCGACGCGTCGCGACCCGATTCCCCCGAGCTCGTCGAGCATGCCGAGGATGACACAGCGATACGCTCACAGCCGTCGCGGCATGTGGATTACTTATCGCACAATTGGCGGGAGGAGGATATTTGGTTGTCGTGGCAGCATATCGTATCGAAACGAGGCAACTACAGCAACAGCGCGAGGTTAGAAAACGCGTCTTGGCGGACTTGGATCAAGAACAAGTACAAGCTCAAGACTGTGTCGCCCGAAACGCTGAATTGGTAAGTCCCAGTTACCTCCTTCTATCTAACCATGCTAACTTCCCCCAGGCTAAAAGACTGCGACGTGACCTGGCTCTACGGCCCCCTCCAAACCGGCTCCAGCAAGCCCTTCATGCCCTCCACCTCCCCCATCGGCAGCCGCCGCATCTCGAAATCCAACTCCTTCCTCCACAAGAAGCCCATCCTCAAAAAGCGCACCATGTCCGAGATACTGCTCCAGCGCTCTCTCTCCGCCTCCTCCCTCCTCAAACAAGCCGCTGCAGCCGTCCAAGCCCAACAATCCGGTTCCTCCTTCTCATCCTCCTCGCACGACCGCCCGTATATGGGCCGCGCCATCTCCGACTACGGCACCTTCGCGCTCGCCTCCCGCCGCCGAAGCCGGGAAAATACCAGTTTTCTCCCCTCCGTCACGAGCTCGGGAATCTCATCCCCCGGCGCGGCGAAGAGGCACATCCACTTCAACGAGCTGGTGGAGCAGTGCATCGCGCTCGAGATGAAGGGGGACGATGACGACGACGACGACATGGCGTATCCCTCCGACGGCCTCGGCGACTGCGACGACAGCGATTCGGACGACGGTGCAATAATGATGAAGCGCTCGTCGTCGAAACGCAAACTCCCCCCCCTGGCCAAGAAACCCGCCCCGCCCGCCCCGAATACCGACATCGAGACAATCGCCATGCTCCCCTCCACCACACTCAAGTACCGCGAAGACACCCCCGAACCGCCGGAGTCGGCGCTAAAACACAGTAGTAGCTGGTCGCTTTCCATCTCTCCGTCACCCTCACAGGAGACGCTCCGCCCTTCATCCTCCTCTTCAACCGCAACAGCGCGCTCGTCCCCGTTATCCATACCTGCATCGTCAGCACTGGACGATGACGACGATTGGCCGCCGCCTCCGCTCCCAGCGCGACGGGATAGCGTGTCACTCGCCCAAGACCGCTTTGCGGGACTGCAGATCTCGGAGGAGGCGCAGGGGGGGATGAGGCGCACGCCGTCGGGGATGTTTATGCCGCTCGAGGAGGATGAGGATGATATTGTGGGGGAGGGGTTGTTTGGGAGGGTGGTGGAGACGGTTAATACGGCGAGGGATATTGCGCATGTCATTTGGAATGTGGGGTGGAGGAGGTAGTTGGGGTGGTGTTTTGTTCTTTCGGCGTGGGGGGCGTGGGGTAGTACCCGTCCTCTGCCCGGGTCTCAGAACTCGATGAGCACTGTATGGACATACTGTTCATCCCATTGTTGTCCAGCTACCTCGGGCTCTTATCCAACAACTTCCGGTCCACAGCACGGGACTTGGCGAATATTTGCTTACAAACGGCGTTATTATTTATTGTTTTTCGACGGAAAGGGGATCAGCATTGCGTTGCGCGGGGTCGGCCGGTCTGGTATCATGTCTGCGTTTTTTGCATTTTGTTTCCTTTTTCCTTTTTCCTGAACTCTCTCCCGAGACATGCTGTGGGATGATGACGTTCTGTTTTTTGCTTTTTTAACTTCCTTCTTTCCTTCTTTCCTTCTTCTTTTCTGTTACTCTGTATATGAACGATCGGGACTGAAGCGGGAACTTGTGTTATTAAAAAGTATTAGACCTCGATCGATGTTGGGTTTTTTTGGGTCTTGGTGTTATGGTGGGGTGTGGGGGTTGGTGGGGGATAAGGGGGTGGAAAAAGGGGAGGGGGAACAGAGGAAGTGGAAGTGTGGTGTTGTGCTGTACTGTGATGAAATGAGAAAGGAGAAGGCGAGGTGGTGAATACTGGATGAGGAGGGGAGGAGTATAGCTGTATCTAGCTGTAATGAATGCACACACACACACACAAACGCTCATCATCGCCGTTATTTCTCACCATCATTTCCCAGTTCCGCGACGCCACCTTGCACATACGCAGTTCGTCGTCCCGTCCCGCCCCCTTTCCCACCGCCCCCCCCTTCCTCCTCCCTTCACGCCTTCTCTCCCTCTCCCTCACTCCTCCCCCGTTTTCTCAGCTGGTACACTCATCCCCCCCCCCACCCACGTGATGAAAACTTCATGCGGCCTCCTGTACGCCCTCCACCCAACCACAACCTCTAACGTCGGTCTTGGCTCGTTTACAGGCTTGGACTGGGGTGTTGGTAGGGGTAGGTGGCTGATGTGATATCGCAGTGTATTTATTCCCTCGCCTCGACGAAGACAGGGTGGTCGCAGACAGCAAGTCGCTTCCCCACGCATCATCGCGGATGAAGCGATTCATTTCACAGCTTGCAATTCTGGACCCCGCGACTCCGTTGGGCGTTATAGTTAACACTCCTACCGCCCCAGACGCACGATATCTCAGCGCTAGCAACCACCTGCCCAACGCGCCGAAGACAGAGGAGTACCTTAGCGGGATTACAGCATTTGAAATAAGGGTACCACACCCGTATTTCGATGGTTTTTTCGAGAATACGGGTGCCCGGAAAAGAGGGGTGGCTTACTAATATTCTACGGTTGGTCATAGCTCCCAGTTTTTGAGAAGAACGGTTCAGTCGGTCTGTACGGGAGCAGTGGAATTGAGGTTATATAGATATATACAGTAAATAGAATGATTCGGTGAAGCTGGTGATTTACTGTAGATGTATGTGGCCGGTGGATGACGATATACCCGCATCACCACCTTAATTTGGCCCAAGAGTGGTAAAACCGGCCATAGCGGTAGCATAATGGAACTTGGGCAACATTGGTGGCGGCAAGATCATGGTCTACGAGGTCAGAAACAGATATTCTTCACAGAAACCATTATATTTACTACATGAAGCTATCTATCCAGTATCTTCTGCCATTCTACTGCCCCCCTTGCCTAGGCTGTGATGCCACGTTTGATCGGTGCCATCGAGCGACTGCCAAAAGCTACCATCACAGCTCTCGCCCAGTACTCCTGCCACCCCCCCGGTTGACCCCAAATTACCCTAGGTCATATGTCCCAAGCTCTTTCAGACCGTTGCTAGGTGTTGAGTCTAAAGGTCGTTTGTGTGCTGCGCTTGCACAGTGTCGACCTCTGCGGCAACGTTCTGCCATTTTAACATGTAATTCCTGTGTAAGATACACCAAGTTAGATAGTAATCAATGGCTGTGGGTGGGGGGAGGATGAGAAGCTCACCGTTTGTTGCCAGTTGAAGCGGGTTAGTCCACTTCAACTGTTCACCGTGCAATGAGAAGAATGGGGGGATCTGGGCTTACCTTTGAAGAATGGAGTTGCTGGAGCTTGCCTAGTTAGCGGATGTCGAAGCTGTATCAACGAAAGGAAAGGAAAGGAAAGGAAAGGAAAGGAAAGGAAAGGAAAGGAAAGAAAGGAAACAACAGGAGATAGGAGAGAGGAGAGTAAAAACGAACATGTAGAAACACACATTCAAGTCAGAGCAAAGCATGCGTCCAGCCATATTAAACTCTGTGCAAAGAAAAGAGAGAGAGAAGAAGGAAATGGATTAAGGTATTCCAAACGCGAATCTTCAACCCACAAGTGGCAGCAACTAGGGACACTGAAGTTTGCAGAATGAAAACGCCAAAGGAAAAGGCAAGACCTATATGTGATATGATACGTAGGTATGTGCCACCTATGACTGTCGCCCAAAAACAGCTCCATAGCGCTGGCATAGCAAAAGGTCGAAAACAGGGCCAAAATGGGGGTCAAGAAATGCTATTGCCGTTTTTTCAAAAATCCGAAGGCCCCCCCTTTTGGACCCTCAAACTCCCAACAAATCCTGAATTGGCGCATAAATCAGTATACAGAACGATGAGGTGCGCAAGATGCTTCTGATTTGAGGCATCCTGGGAGAGGCTGGGGAGTATGGCGGCATAATCTAGGGCGTCCGGGGAGGCTCATAGCCGGTGTCTAAAGGCAACTGAGGGTGCTTGTCTTGGGTCTGGAGAATCAAGGCAATCCAGTGGGAGAACAGATGACTTACTTGAGAGAGGCAATGCCAGAGAGGACACAAGATGGACAGCTTAGCGAGCTTTCTAGCTGGGATGTTTTGGCGATGCAGGCGATGGATTGGAGATGTTTGGTGATGGGCAGCTCGGCGAGCTTGCCTGTAGGGGAGGTTTCTTCATGGCAGCCAATGCCTGGAGAGGTTTGGTGATGGCTGGTGATGGCTGGAGGGATCTGGCGATGGCTGGAGTGGTTTGGTGATGGCTGGTGATGGTAGGAGGGGTCTGGCGATGGTAGGAGTGATTTAGAGAGGTCTGGTAGTAGCCAGAGAGGTTTGGTGATGGCCGGTGAGGGTGGAAGAGGTCTGGTGAGCTTTAGAAATGCCTAAAGAAGCTTTAGTAAGGTTTGAAGATGCTTGAAATGCCTTGGCCAAGGTTGGGTGAGGTTGGCCGATGTTTTAACAGGTCTAGAGAGTCCCGAAATGAAGCTTGAAAGCAAGCTTCCAGCCGGCTTTTCGAATTGGAATATTTGTTCAGGTGAAATTGACTTACCTGATCTTACCCAATTGATGCCAACTCTGATGGCAGATCAAACCTTCAATGAAGGTTGATTCAAAGACAGATCGTGAGCTGGAGGTGAGGCAGCCTTCACTCTGAGTGTGAGTGCGGGAACCAGCCCAAAATGGCAAGTACACATTTCCTATTTAGGCTGAAGCATCTTTAGAGCATCAGAATCAGCATCACCTACAGTAAATAAGAATACATAGTTAGACAGATAATTGAATTCATTTTTGTATCTACAAATTCACTTCCAGTCTGTAAAACTGCTGATATTCTTGAAGTATCCCCATGCCACCAGTGCTCCATGCTTACATCAACCCAATGTTCCACCAACAGTAAATCAGCTCCGGCGAATGGTTTGGCATATCTGAGGCATATGGCTCTGAATGGCCTGCTGTGTTATTCAATCTCAAGCTGCCCTTTGCAAATGGCGCCGGCTCGTTCCTTCTTGTCGAATCTGTGTCGATAATATAAAGTGGCTTGCTGCCAATTGCTGGGAGGCCAACGATGATCTGGGTTGAGTCCTTGATCTTCATTAATGGTAGCATAACCATCTTGTCCTTTTCACCGCAATCTTCTAATTCAGTAACAATGACAAAGAGGCGTTTCTCACCTGGGATTCGCTCATGTATGAAGCCGAGGTCGAAGGGGCAAATAGTACTGCCACGAGCAACGAAAGAGTTTCCGGCCTCGGAATTGATGCGGCGCTGGGACACTCTGTTTTCATTTTACATTAGCTACTATGGATAAAACGATGGGAGGAAACACTTACGGATCTGTAAAGCCAAGCTGGCTAAACCACTCAACTGCCATATCGCCAAGACTTGTGATGTATGGCATTTGATAATCTTTGGAGTATGCCTCCCGGAGCTGGCAAACAAACGGATGGTGTTCTGGGATGCCTTTGATATACAGCGGCAGGTCAAGCTCGTTTTTAACAAAGGCCCGCGAAACACAACGTGTAGCTCTTGGCCGGATGTGTTTTGCATCTAGGAGGACATCAGGAGCCATCTCTTCGACTATGTCCGGCTGCTCAAGAGAAGGCAGGATATGGCTCATAAGGCCAGGGCACCTTTTGTGGAGGATCTTAATCCTCATCGATATCTTTGGATCTGTGTGCTCAAAGGCACCTTGGAGGAGAAGCCGGAGCGAAGCATTAACGCACTCCCGCTGTATCAAAGTCCGTTCGACAGATCTTCCATTTGATGCTTCCGCCCATTTCTTGAACTGGCTATTCATCACAGTTAGAGTATAATCAATTGCACTGAGAAAAGATGGCTTACCGGTGCTTATCCTCAAAGTGAAGCACATTGAGATTAAAGCTGTTTCCATACCTCCAGATAATATCGCCTAGGTGCGCCCCCTGATGAACATTGGGCCTACACCGCCATTTCTTAAAGTCGTCCGATGCCCGAGAGGTTGGTTTGAGGTCCATGAGATTAGCGGCAAGTTCAAACTCCTGTATCACTGAATCTTGCATGAAACTAACGATGTTATGGAAGTCCTCGGTGCTTGCGTCAATGCTTGACTGGGATATCGATGGTGCTGGGGAAACTTGTCTCTTGCCCTTCCCTTTCCCCTTTCCCATGCTGCCTCTGTTTCCTGCTGCCTTCATTCGCAATGCAAGCATGCGGCATTGCAGAGCCGTCCATACATATCGCGACCATTGAAAATGGTCTTCTCTGTGTCACTATGCTGTCCCGGTCTCATCTCCCACGAGCAGGTCAGGGCATTGGACATTGCCATTGCTGAGAACGCCCGGATAATAAGCTGTTCTGGGTTGAGCTGATGCTTTCTCAAATCTTCCTTGAATTCTTGCTGGACGGCTTTGTAGAATCGCCAGTCAATGTCCTCTTTCTCAAGGGGCATGCATCGTAATATCAGCGGCGTTAGCATCAACGCCATCCCAGCTTCGTTCAAGGACCAGGACTTTAAGTGGTGCAGGGGCGACTGTCGTTTTCCCCATCCTGCTGGCGACGGAAAGCAAATGAATTCTTGGAAATACCGCTGTAGCCGTGACTTCGAGAGTATGGCTGTTATAAGAAGGAGCTGAGACTGCTTCCCCATTCCTGCGAACTCTGAGTGACAGACGTCGGCGGGACGACTGAGCACAATATCCAGTGCTGGCGAAATTTTGAACAGTGCTGGCTTAGTATCCCGCATACTCCATTCCTGGAACCACGCCTTTCTTTTCGTGGCAGAGAGCTTATCCCCATGCTCGCGCAGTTGAACTTGATGGTGGTGATACCTACCAAGCTCTATAAAGTCGAATGAGAGCTCCCCATGCCCATCTTTCGAAGCAAGGCAGGATCTACACCCCATGTCTGCGTTCTGGCGCAAGATTCCTGCATTATCGTTTTTTTGTGGCATGTCCCCAGCATAGCCAAGTGGAAAAGCGAGCTTCTCCTTGCCATTGATATCGAGGGTCATGCCTCTCTCTAGCTCTGGGAGATCTATCATGGATGCTAGAATATCATCTAGCCTTGATCCATGCGGTGTAGTAGTGAGAACGATCACGTTCTCGCGGTGCATCCTCACTCGAAGAGCCTGACCGGCGAGCGAGATATACACGCCAGTCAATGACCGGTACATGTTTCTCCAGATCCCAAAGCCATCGATGAACTCTATGAACGGAAGGGAGATAAAGCCTTGTTTAAGGGCTTCAAGAATCCACTTGCGGCCGTAGGCCTTCAACTCGAGCTCGGCAACATGGGGGTGGGACTGTGCTGCTGGCCTAATCTCATCGTTTGCCAAGTTGAGGATTCTTCTAACCTGGGACTCTGGCTCAAATAGGTGGTCTGCCTGACCTGGTATCCCATTCTCGAATTTGTAGTCCATGGTATATTCAAGCCGTTGAATTAGGCAGTGTACTGGGACAAACTCAAACTCATCCTCAGAGATAAGCTTCTCAGATTGAGAAAGCGGGATAGAAAGCTGAGACCTAATATCTTGGGCCTTTGGCGGCAATTCCATAGCTGAGTAAACTTTTTGGATCTTGATAATGATCCCGTTCTTCTCGATTGGTGCTGATCTCTTGTCAAATCCAATCCCATACACGCGACCAATTCTGATACTACCCCTTTCCGCTGACTTGTACTGGACAAAGTCAGAGCATATGATAGGGGATCCATCTGCAAAGGTAACTTGCACCCCAGAAGTTGTCCGTAAGGAACACAGCCAGGAGTCCGACTCCCAAAATTCATTTGGCGTATCTGTAAACGAGCCAAAGCCGTTCCATAATCCCTTGGTGATGCTGTTTGCTGACAAGATTCGTGTGACAAGTGGCGCAGCTTCAAACCAGTACGCATCCCCCTTTCTGTCCTTCTTCGAGCTGAGCTTCTCTTTCGGTGCCATCGTTGGCAACCTCTCTTGATTCAAGCTAACCATCTTATGTCGTAGGGGGAGTAGCGGCAGTTTCACCATCAGTCGTCGTTATCGAGTTGTAACGTCCTGTGGCATATCAACCAACTGGTCAAGATTCTCTGCAAGCCTAAGGCACTCTAATAGGTCTTGAAACTGCTGCCGTGAGACACTGTACCGTTCTGTGTACATGGCCATTGCCATCTCGTACTCTGACATTGGCCTCGATGATCTATTATGGGGCACAGGGTTGGAATAGTCATCACCGATGGGAGATGAACGATCAGCGGCGGCTGGAGGGGGTGGCGGTAGCATCCCTAATTCATCAGAGAGGAAATCCTCAGTCGGGATCTCTGGTATAAACACTTCGTTAGAAGTGTTGAGGTCTGGAACTGTCGTAGTATGAACCTTCACTGGAATCTGCTCTGAAATCTCACGGAGGGTCTTCTCCGTCAGCTCTTGAATATCCTGTGGTTGGGGGTCAGACATAAGTATGTCACTTTCATCACCATCACTGTCATCATGAAACCCATGGTCGTAGTCATCGCTCGTAGTATTGGTAATAAACTCTGAGCTATGTAAAAGTATGTTTTCCTCTGATAACTCATTCCCATGACCAACTAGTGGTGCGTTTGATAATCCACTGCGTCTATGTCGGTTGGCAGCTTGTGTCTGGAGTTGGGGAATCGCCACATTGGGATATCGATTTCTCTTCTTCAGTCGGCTCTGTGGAGGCCGGGAAGGCATGATCAAAGATAGGCAGCAATGCCAAAGGTATGCTTGGGGGTGCTGCCGTTGCCAATCTTGCTATTTTTGGCTCAAGTCCAGTTCTAGCCAATTCTACTCAACTACTTTGACAGCCAAGAGAGGTGGACTAGATAGTTAAGATTTCTTGGGGCTGGGAGAAGCTGGGATACTCCAAGGAGAAACGTGTTCGGGACCAGGGAATCTCAATGATGTCAGTGTTGAGACACAGCTTGTGTCGGCCGACCACTTTGGGGAAGTGGTTTTGTAGGTAGAATCCAAGGATTCTTAGCAGCAGGACTGGGAGATTAAAATGCTGGTGGGGGGCTAGAGGTGTCCTTTGAGCTGGAGAGATTGTAGGCGATGAGGCTGGTCGCCGGGAGCTTTTGTCAGTAGCTCAGAATGCTGGGGAGATTTTGGGTGATGAGGCTGGTCACCAGGAGCTTTTGGATCAGTGAAGCTGGTTGCTGGGAGCTTTTGGTGCCAGCTCAGAATGCTGGAGAGATTGTGGGCGATGAGGCTGGTCGCCAGATGCTTCGGCAGGGGCACCAGATGCTAGAAGATGCCAGAAGAGGTTCAGCGAGGGTGCAAGATACCAGAAGAGGTTTTGGCGATAGCTCAGAATGTTTGGGGGGTTCTGTCTTCAGCGTGTGTGAACTTGATGGTGGCAGGGCACAGGTATGGGCGAGTAAGTTGTAGACAGGTTGGTGTCAGAGGAGGCAAACTCATGAACTAAGGGTAAACCCCAAGGCTTTGGAATGAACACTTGAGGAGTTCTGACGAAGGTTGTGAGGTTGTTTGAAATCGTTGGATTATGAGAAATTTGCTTTTTGGCGCGTCTGGTGAACTTGTGCAAATACTTTAGAAGTCTGTGAAATAGTCAGTATGAATCAAATTCCTCATCCTTCTTCAACTTACTTCTTCTTTTATACATCCTGTCCTGACACAGAGTGAGGTTGGTGATGAGGTTGAAAGCTGAGGAATGGTGGTGAAATATCGTATATCACGTGCCCATTTTAGGTGGGTGGTCATGTGCTCCATCACTGCTAGCATCACCGCCAGCATCACCACATCATCTACAGCCTCATTTTCAGTCAAGATTGTACAGCGTAAGTCGTTTATTTACTCTCTGTCATTAATTTCACTTCTGGTCAGTTATCCTGCGCTAGGCAGCTCTGTTTCTCATCCTTTCCCATCCTCCTGCTCCTATATTACTTGATCTCGAGCAATGCCACGGTCGTTTGGACCTCAGTCCCAAAGAAGGAGGTTCACACCATTGGCACCTCGCCGACAACATTCTCCAATTGATGTAAGTTCTTGCCTATCTATCTATGCTTCTATCTCATGTTTATCCAGCCCTCTCTCCTGGATACTATGCCTAGTTCATTAGAGAATACCACCAAATCTGTCGAGGGGTTGTCGCCGCAGAACCCATTTGACGACAACGGTTTTGACTCTCAGGACGATGCGCTAATTGGGGATGAAGATGAGCCTACCTCGAGAGGGAACCAGAGCACCGAAAAAGATCAAGGCTGCCGACCTTCTCTCCGCTAACCAATTTGTTCTTGGGTTCGTGAAGCCACCGGCACCAGAAACAAGGGGGACGGTGCCAGTGTGGTGCACAGGCAGTGAAGATGGCCGTGGAGTTGCTAGGAGGACCTGAACGAATGGTATTTCGGGTGGAGCGAACTTGGGGTGTGGGCACAGCCTCTTGGCTGGCGGCAACATTGCTGTATGGTTTTGCTTTGGCTTGGGAGAGTGGATTTACTTGGGCTGCATCGCTAGGCTCAGAGTTTTGGGCGTTTTGGGCTGCCGGAAAGGCTGGGAAGAATGGATTGTGATGGGCTTCTTTGCTGTGTTGCTGTCGGGCTAGTGTCGGGCTAGTGGAGGTATCTGATCAAAATGAGGCAATCTAGGCTGGGCATTACATAGATCATGGCTATATTATTGAAACTACATACAATAGATGATTGTTGCCGATGCCTTCGTTTCCTCTGCTTCCCTCTTCTGTGTTTCTTGTCTATGACTGCCGCTGTCGCTTGTCCCATCGTCACCGTCGTCGCCATCATCATCATCACTATCACTGCTATCACCGCTGACAACAGCCATGATTTGCTCATATATTTGAGGCCTATGTGACCATTGCTACTCTCCTGCTCTTCCATTTCCCGCTTCCACCGTCTCCATTTCCTTGAGCACCGCCGCCGCCCATCTACTTTCATGGGCGGAGCCGCCTTCTCTTCTCTCCCATTTCCTGAGCACTGCTGCGCTCATCATTTTCATGAGCTTCGCCGCTTATGAAAAAGGATGAGCGGCGTGGCCCCAAGCTCCCATCCATTCCAGAACCACTGGCCATGCCGGCTACAGTCCAATCCATCTATTTCCTATTTACTGGTGTTCTGCGTTGACCGTTTGGGACTGAACACCGTGGGCATGAGAAGCATGTGGGGCCACGGGCGCATGGACGGCAAACCGTTCAAATACCAGCAAAATTCAGTGACAGGTCCACAAACCGTGTCGCTACCCTTGTTTCAAAACGTGAAATCCCGGTAAGGTAGAGTTACTGGACGGCGCTGGAGCGAGACAGGACCCTTCGGCCCCCACCAGTGATGTGGCTCCGTGGGCGCCAGCGGAGGTGGTGGTGGTGTTTCACGCGGGCGGTGCGGCGCGGTGCGGTGGTGGTGGTGGGTGGTAGCGGCTTTGGGGGAGGGCGGATAGGGAGTGGGATGGGGAGACGGGTTATGGGGGATTGATGATGGGGATGGGGAGACGGGTTATGGGGGATTGATGATGGGGATGGGGAGACGTGACGTCTCTCCGCCATCCGCCTCTATCCCTGGGCGGTAGAGTAAGTCGGGGCAACCAAGCCATCCGGATTATCTCCACCCGCCGAAAAAGATGCGAGCGAGGCTCCACCTCGCTCGATCAGGTCAAGCCAGTCAGCAGCGGTATAGGACTGACTCCTATCACAGGTCTAACCCATTGGCTTCATGATTGGGCGGTGTGCTGTTTTGGGCATCCGAGCAGCGGTGGTTGGGGCGAGGCGTAGGGGGGATTGTGATTTGCTTCCCCCGTCGGCGCGTAAATGGTGGGGTGGGTGTGGACCAGTTGGAAAAAAAGGAAATACGTGAAGTGAAATAACAGGTATTTTTATTTTTTATTTTTATTTTCTTTTCTTTCTTTCTTTTCGAATTTATTTTCTGTTATTGTATTTTTATTTTCTTTTTGGGGAGGGGGGGGATGTGAGGTGACGTGCAGACTGTGGTGTCACGGGGATGGATGTGATGGTTGTGGATGTGATGGGGATGGATGTGATGGATGTGATGTTTTTGTGGATGTGATGGGGATGGATGTGATGGGATGGATGTGATGGTTGCGGACGGGATGGATGTGATGGTTGTGGACGGGATGGATGTGGACGGGGAAAAGAGACACGTCCCGTAACACAAGAGTGGTGTCTCCGTCCGTCGTCGCGTTCTCCCGCTGTGGTGTTATTGCATACCCATCCCATCCCATCCCATCATCCCATCCCATCCCATCCCATCCCATCATCCCATCCCATCCCATCCCATCATCCCATCCCATCCCATCATCCCATCCCAACCCATCATCCCATCCCATCCCATCATCCCATCCCATCCCATCATCCCATCCCCATCCCGTCGCGGACGCAGGCCGTACTACTCTTGTTACTCCTGGGATTTCCGCAAACGGCCACGCATGGTAGCATGGTAGCATGGTAGCAGGGTAGCAGGGTAGCAAGGTAGGGAAAGTAAGATATCTTCCGTCACTTAGTCATCGTATCATCGATCATCGTATCATCGTATCATCGTATCATCGTATCATCGTATCATCGTATCATCGATCATCGTATCATCGATCATCGTATCATCGTATCATCGCTTGCTATACCCCAATCCACCTCCCAACTCACGCTGCAGTTCTACTATCGCAGGGTCCAAACTACAGTCAGTCGGTGGATGGGTGGAGATGATACACCAAAACATCACAGCTACAGCACGCACGGCCCGGCACGAAGAACAGGACAGACAGGACAGACAGGACAGACAGGACAGACAGGACAGACAGGACAGACAGGACAGACAGGACAGACAGGACAGACAGGACAGACAGGACAGACAGGACAGACAGGACAGACAGGACAGACAGGACAGACAGGACAGACAGACAGACAGACAGACAGGACAGACAGACAGGACAGACAGGACAGACAGGACAGACAGGACAGACAGGACAGGACAGGACAGACAGACAGACAGACAGACAGACAGACAGACAGGACAGCACAGGACAGCACAGCACAGCAGGCGGGGCAAATACCTATCCCTACGTAGTTGCGGGTCAATACACCGACTTTTCCCCACCAACTTTCCCCCCGCGTGGCCACAGTGGCGCGGGTTTCTACAAATATACGTACGAAATATAGGTACGAAATATACGTACGCTGGAGTGCGGGTGCTGTGTCTGGGGTGAGGGGATGGGGGGATGTCATCGAGACAGCGCAGACTGAGCGAGTTAGTGAGTGAGTAGTGACTGGAGGACGGTGAGCAAGAGGGTTGCGAGAAGCCCGAGCTGGCGGTGGAGGTGTGGTGGTGTGGTGGTGTGGTCGGGGCCCAGCCAGACAGGACGCCGGGGATTAAACTGTTTTTTCGGGATTGAGGTGGAGGGAGGAGGGATATGTCCCCGTGATTGCAGACCAGGATAGCCCAGCAGGTATAATACGAGGCTAGCAGGTATAATACAAGGCTAACAGTAATACAAGGCAACTCGATATCGCTGCGTAGGTTCCAGTCCAGCTCGGTCTTAACCCTGAGTTGACTGGGACTTTGCTGACTGGGACTGTGCTGACTGGGACTTTGCTGACTGGGACTGACGGGGACTGTCTGATGCTCCGGATGCGACTCGCCGTAGGACCGGTACTCGTGGTACCCGTGCTACGGTACTCCCGTGCTACGGTACTCGCTGCACGCGTGGTACTTGTGCTACAGGTGTCCGCAACCGTGGGAAGCCTGTCCCACCGCACCCAGGATGCACCAACTGCACAGTAGAATGACAGTCGAATGGCAGTCGAATGGCAGTCGAATGACAGTCGAATGACAGTCGAATGGCAGTCGAATGACAGTCGAATGACAGTCGAATGGCAGTCGAATGACAGTCGAATGACAGTAGAATGTATAGTAGAGTTGCCCTGCCATGGGTTGATGTACTGGTACGTACATCAACCCCATCCCCGGCTGAGGCCACCATCGAGAGAACGAGGAAGGAGCCAACAAGATCACGTTAGAGGAAAGCTACTTTTCAATGCACCATACCTACGTACTGCCTGAATGTACTTTTCCACTAACCCACCAAGTTACCTCGCTGACCAAAACATTACGGACTAATTTAGTTCCATTAGTCCTCTTTTCCTCTAGTCGCCTTTTCGCTCTGACGCACTTCCAATTCGCAACCACCCATAACCACTCATAACCATCGATTCCTTCAATTCCTTCCCACTTCCTCTCCTCCTCCAACCAAAACCTTCCATTCCACACAAATTCCCCGTTTTCCAATTATTCCCAAAACTCAAAACCCTCAAAACACCCCCCAAAACACTGCGAAATAATACCGTCCAACCATTGTCCGCCATTTCCCCAGAAGGATTCCTGTCGGAAAGCAAGAACGAAAGGACCCTCGAGTACCTCACCACCGCCCACTCACCCACCTCACCCACCTCACCCTCACCCACCTCACCCTCACCCACCTCACCCACCTCCACCACCGCTCAATTCGCCCCCTCCCCTCCCAAGCTCCCACACACGCTCGCCCAACGATCAAATCAGATCCCCATCAGATCGCTCCAAAGCTATATTCACCACCAGCATCACTTATTGGAAGAGAAAGCGCGCGCTCAGAAGCTGCCATCCAACAGGCTCAAGATCCAGTCTGCACAGACAGGTACCCCCCGAAATACCCAATTACCGTACCTCACACCTCGGAACAAACGCCCTGCGCTGGCTGCTGTTCCTTCGAGTAGCTCCTCTCTCTCTCTCTTACCCGGAACGTCCACTCTACCGCCCACTCTACCGCGCCTCCGAACCGCATGCTTCGCCTGCTGCGCCCTACCTACCGCCCATCTCGACCATAAGCGCCCGCCTCGTCGTCGCTTTTCTCCGCTCGGCGCTCGCTCATCTGCTCTTCCTCGCTCTTGGGTTCCATTCCAGGCTACGATTAGAGGTGTACTGTGCCAGAAGTACGAGAGTCCCCCCCCCCGCCTCCCACGACTATCTTCGTTGTGCGCCCGCACCCCCCCCCCCCAAAAAAAAAATTCCCAAATATCTCAACTCTTGAGTTCCCTTTGGTTACTCTACTCCAAGTTACTTTCTCGAATTTACTTACTTGAGTTACTCCCAAGTCAAACTTGGGTTTTACTAAACTTACTTAACTTGCCTTACCTCACCACCCTCCCAAATACCATACATACACACCAAAACACCAACTCTACTCCACTACATATCACCTTGCTTCACGTGTTCAATTCCCCACCAACAAATACCAACCTCCAAAAATACAAAAATACTACGCCAATCCTGCACCTGCAGTCCAGCCTAACCTTGGCAAGCAACTTGCAAGCCCTACCGACCTCAGCGTGCATGTCAGGGCTGCCCTCGACCACGGTGTACACCCTACCACATCGCTTGCCAACGCATCCAGCATATCAGATTCAAGTACTCGGCCTCGCCATTAGTCTCCGCCCAGCCACTCTGCGCCAAACAAAGACCGACCGCGTCGCCTGAAATCCCACCCACGCACGCAACCCATTGCCTTATCGTCATATCTCCGTCGACATCATCGTTCGTCCAATTTCGCAGCTTCAGCTTGCCAATATAATCTTTCAATACCCGCGACGCTCTTTGCGCAATCTCCGCGCCGAACACGCGACGGGACGACGGGCGACTGACTCGAGTCCGCCAACACGTCACTTCCCACGTTCTCATATCCCCCACCACCAACCACCACGAACCAACCGCGCGCCGACAGTGAGTGAGAGCGAGAGAGCTCCGACGACGAGCTACACGACGCATCCCGACGCGCCGAATCCGACGCGCGACCGCCGCCAGGCAGCCCAGCTCGCCGCCGCGAACAATTACCTAGACACTCCGTAGTCCCAATGATGGAGTACGCGCAATACCAGCAACAGCCGCAAGGCCACCACCCTCAGAGCCAGGGCCACCTACAGAACCCATACCCCAACTCCGGGCAGCTGCCGGGGCCGGGCGCACCCCTCACGTCGCCGACAAACCAGCCGCTGCACCAACAACAACACGCGCTCCACGGCCAGACATCCCCCATCCTGCCGTCGCAACAGCAAGGCGCGCAGGGCCAGGGCCACCCCGTGCACCAGCAGATGTACAATCAAACCCCCTACGGCGTCCAGCCGCAGGGCATGCACTACGGGATGCCCGTCGGCATCTCGACACAAGCCGCCGCCATGGCAGCCACCGCCGCCGCCTCGGGCCAAGGATACCCATTCCTATCGTCTGACCCGAGTCTCCCCAACACCTCCCCGCGCATGGGCGGCCTCAACCTCAAGAAAGACGTCGCGCGCCGCCCGCGCTCGCCACACCAACTCGCAAACCAACTCGGCCACCCCCGCCGCGTAAGCACCCAACTCGGCTCCCCCGGCGCCCCAGCACAACCACTCAACCACATCGCGCGCCCCGCGCCACCACCCATGCCCGCGCAAGCACCTCAGCACCCGCAGTCACCCGAGCTCGTCGCTGGCGCAGGAGCAGAAGAGAGCCCGCTCTACGTCAACGCGAAGCAATTCCACCGCATCCTCAAGCGGCGCGTCGCGCGCCAGCGCCTCGAGGAGGCCCTC